AAAGTTGTGTAAAGCAGTTTCGTTCTTTACCTGCCTGGTATTTAAAACTAAAATATACTGTCGTAGGAATACAGAATAACTGGCTAATGAACTAAAGCCACGAACATTACTTTATTTATTTATTTATTTATTTATTTATATATATACAAGAAGGTACATTGGGTTTGTGAGAATACATTGGATAGTACAGTATATACATTCTTGTAAAGCCACTAGCACGCGCAGCGTTTCGGGCAGGTCCTTAATCTAGCAGATAATTTTAAGTAGGTAATTTTACTGCTCAAATTACTGGTAATTTTTTACTGCTGCTTAAATTTACTGCTCAATATTGGTATGCAAAGGTTGGTACCTTTGTCACATACATTTGGTCTGACATAAATGGACAGGAAGCGTTCACGAGCGTCGGGTATTATGTGTACACATTCCTACCAGTACAGCCCAGCCACTTGGGCTGGACGGTAGAGCGACGGTCTCGCTTCATGCAGGTCGGCGTTCAATCCCCGACCGTCCAAGTGTTTGGACACCATTCCTTCCCCCCGTCCCATCCCAAATCCTTATCCTGATCCCTTCCAGGTGTTATATAGTCGTAATGGCTTGGCGCTTTCCCTCTCATAGTTCCCTTCCCTTCCTACCACTACAAGTCAGCCTGTTTACTATTGAAATATATACATATTTAAATATTATTGAATCTTTAACAAAACGAAGAAATATCATAAAATTATTAAGTTATTAGTGATGTAATACTAATATTTCTTGAGGTTATCTTGAGGTTATCTTGAGATGATTTCGGGGCTTTTTTTAGTGTCCCCGCGGCCCGGTCCTCGACCAGGCCTCCACCCCCAGGAAGCAGCCCGTGACAGCTGACTAACACCCAGGTACCTATTTTTACTGCTAGGTAACAGGGGCATAGGGCGAAAGAAACTTTTACCCATTGTTTCTAGCCGGCGCCCGGGATCGAACCCAGGACCACAGGATCACAAGTCCAGTGTGCTGTCCGCTCGGCCGACCGGCTCCATTTGTCGCCACGATCAACCATCACCCACAAGTCATCATCCCCTCATCCCCTCATCCTCTCATCCCCTCATCCTCTCTCCATTTCCACCATTCCATCATTCACTTACAGAGGTGACGGAGCACTGCACCAATGATGTTAGGCTTATAACGAGTTTCCTCTCCCCCCCCCCACCCTCGGGTCGAATTACAGACCCCACCCAGGATAGGAGCCGGTCGGCCGAGCGGACAGCACACTGGACTTCTGATCCTGTGGTCCGGGTTCGATCCCCGGCGCCGGCGAGAAACAATGGGCAGAGTTTCTTTCACCCTATGCCCCTGTTACCTAGCAGAAAAAATAGGTACCTGGGTGTTAGTCAGCTGTCACGGGCTGCTTCCTGGGGGTAGAGGCCTGGTCGAGGACCGGGCCGCGGGGACACTAAAGCCCCGAAATCATCTCAAGATAGATGCAACCCCACAACAAGCTGACTAACTCCTGAGTTCATACTACTAGGTGAACAGAGCATTGGGTGATAGAAAATGCGCCCAACCATTTCTGTCCCGCCCGGGATTCAAACCCGGTTTTCCCGCTCGTGAGTCGCGAACGAACCAAACTATACTATTGGGACTCCTAATATATGTATTATACTAGGCCTAAGATAGCGTGTATCAGGCTTAGGATTGCTAAGAGAGGTTAGGTTTGGTTCTATATTCATGTTACAGCTAAAAAGTTTCTCTTTTGGCCATATTCAATAATACAAAACTCAACATTCAGTTGGTCCATCACTACATATTAGTTCTTCTTCCCAAATACTTACTACAAGTTCTGTCACTTCAGGAGAATGGGAGTATTTAAGTCAGACAAACATTAAGTGTTACCTGGTTGATGGGGTTCTGGGAGTTCTTCTACTCCCCAAGCCCGGCCCGAGGCCAGGCTTGACTTGTGAGAGTTTGGTCCACCAGGCTGTTGCTTGGAGCGGCCCGCAGGCCCACATACCCACCACGTTGATGGGGTTCTGGGAGTTCTTCTACTCCCCAAGCCCGGCCCGAGGCCAGGCTTGACTTGTGAGAGTTTGGTCCACCAGGCTGTTGCTTGGAGCGGCCCGCAGGCCCACATACCCACCACAGCCCGGTTGGTCCGGCACTCCTTGGAGGAATAATGTTAGAATATCTAACAGTATGAATGATTTATTTAAATAGCTACATAGTTGAGTATGTTCTAGGCCAGTCAATATTTTAACAGCTTTATACTAAATAAAAGTGCTAGGTGAACAGGAGAATAAATAAGAAAAATTAATCGTGAATCGTGAATCTGGGACCAGATTCACGAAAGCACTTACGAAAGCACTTACGAACCTGTACATCTTTTCTCAATCTTTGGTGGCTTTATTTCCAATTATTGAAGAGTTTAAAAGCATGAAAACTTCCCAATCAACTGTTGTTATTGTTATAAACAGCCTTCTGGTGCTTCGGAGCTCATTAACTGTTTAATAATTGAAAACAAAGCCGCCAAAGATTGAGAAAAGATGGACAGGTTCATAAGTACTTACGTAAATGCTTTCGTGAATCTGGCCCCAGGGGACTCTTATCAAGCCACATACGGCTTGATAATTGTCTGGGACGGACCGAAACGTCGTTTCGGTCCGTTTCGAACCGAAACGTTTCTCCATCTTCTGTTGAGTGGTTTGACCATCATGGGCTTGGTGGGGATACACTGAGAGGATGTACACTACACTACATTATATGATTTGTTCATGGGAGGATGTATGTGGGGGTGGGAGGGTGGGCAGGGGATGGGGGTGTATAGTGGGGTACTGGGGGTGTAAAGTGGGGTACTGGGGGTGTATAGTGGGGTACTGGGGTGTATAGTGGGGTCCTGGGTGTGTATAGTGGGGGGTACTGGGTACTGGGTGGTGGGGTGTATAGTGGGGTACTGGGGGTGTATAGTGGGGTACTGGGGGTGTATAGTGGGGTACTGGGGGTGTATAGTGGGGTACTGGGGGTGTATAGTGGGGTACTGGGGGTGTATAGTGGGGTACTGGGGGTGTATAGTGGGGTACTGGGGGTGTATAGTGGGGTACTGGGTGTGTATAGTGGGGTACTGGGTGTGTATAGTGGGGTACTGGGGGTGTATAGTGGGGTACTGGGGGTGTATAGTGGGGTACTGGGAGTGTATAGTGGGGTACTGGGGGTGTGTGTTCAGGGGAAGACTTGGAGAATGTGTGCTTGTGTGTGGAGGTTCATTCCCAGTAATTTTACTGGTAATAAAGAAAGAGAAACAATTTACTAGTATATAACAGGGGTAACTGATGTGTTTCTCCTCTGGTACAGAGGTCCTGGGGGATATCTGTGATATCGCGTGTATTTTGTGTATCTTCTGTATACTCTGTGATGTTCTGTATACTCTGTGATATCGACAATGCTATATTAATGCACGTTGCAGCCGTTCCATGATTACTTGCTGTAGGGAAATACCATGATATTATGAATGAGGAGAATTACTTAGGACTTCAAATTCAGTATACTGTATATACTACATTAAAAAATACAAAAATAAAACATGTAAAGTCCCTATCTAGGGTTGTAAATCCTACTCCTCTTTTCCAATGAAGGAAAGTGGTCTGTAGGGAGCAGGTAGTTCCTGAAGTGTGAATAGATTTGTTGACTGGAGACCCACAATCTACCTTCTTGAGATTATCTTGAGATGATTTCGGGGCTTTTTTAGTGTCCCCGCGGCCCGGTCCTCGACCAGGCCTCCACCCCCAGGAAGCAGCCCGTGATAGCTGACTAACTCCCAGGTACCTATTTACTGCTAGGTAACAGGGGCATTCAGGGTGAAAGAAACTTTGCCCATTTGTTTCTGCCTCGTGCGGGAATAGAACCCGCGCCACAGAATTACGAGTCCTGCGCGCTATCCACCAGGCTACGAGGCCCCCTGGCATTTCAACACATCAGCTTATATGTTATACAAGGATAAGAAAATAAAACACAGTTCTATGACTGAACACTGGTTCTTATTCTAGATCAAAGATCTAAACAATATACAGAGTCTAGTCAGCTCTAATATTATTTCAGCAGCCAATAATCAAATTATACTAATAAAAACAACAAGGTAGTTGAATTATACAAGTATGATTTATAGGTAAATATGCAAACAAGATATTATATTCAATATGATAAACTAACATGATAGATTAATGTTAATTGGTATAGTAATTAATTATTTGATGAATAACAATTTATATATATACACTAAATGTACCCGGCCACGCATTGCTGTGGTTCAGTCTGGTTAAATGGAAGTGAAAGAAAAGAGAAAGCACACGTTTTTAATATGTTTAGAAACATGTGCTTTCTCTTTTCTTTCATTTCCATTTAACCAGACTGAGCCACAGCAATGAGTGGCCGGGTACAGCTAGTGTATATATATAAATTGTTATTCATCAAATGGGTATACAATATTTTGTTGTTGTTTCCTTGTCTGTGGAGATATAGAGATTGTCTGGTTTGCAGACTCTAGAACTCTCGACCCTCCCCCGACCCCTTGTCCTCCCCACCATTCCCTCACATGAAAACACAGTTAAAAAAAAAACATGATTTTACCTATCACAGGTGTGACATCTATATAGTAGGTATATAAAAACACGCACGTATTCGAATGCAACGTTGTGTCAAAATTTCAAAGCAATCGGTGAAGAACTTTCGGCGATTTGAGATTTTGAAGAAACGAACATTTATATTTATACAGCAGTACCCGGTCACGCGTTGCTGTGGCTCAGCAACGCGTGTGCGTTGCTGAGCCACAGCAACCTTCCCTGTCCCCCAGTCCTCCCCACCATTCCCCACTCCCTCGTCCGATGCCTTCCCAAATGGTCTGATGTTCCCATCAGAAAATTGGGAACATCAAGTGATCTGATGTTCCCATCACTGATAGAAAGAAAATGAAAATAAATGAAAATGAAAACTGAAATGAAAATATGAAAAAATAATCTGTACTCACGAAATGAACTGTTTGGTAAACAACACACCTCAATTCCAACACAATTCACACAAAATAATTAAATAAAAAATGAAAATAAATCATAATCTATTAAAAGTCAATTTATCAATGCAATCAAAAACACTGAAATGGAATTGCAACACATATAGTATAGATGTGTGTTACTCTTACATGCAACAGATGGAACTCTTCCAAGTGCGAAATAACCTCCACCAACCAGCGCATATAGAGCGAATAAAGGATATTTTTCCTGATATCCATATAACCAACCCTGAACAGCAGAATCCTAGGAGCTCCTCTTAGAGGGAAGGCCATCGACGAGGACCTTGGTAAGAAGATCGCTGACCTGAAGAGGATCAATCAGAAGATTGATCGTTCTTGTTCCGGATCCAGAGGACGACGCCAGTGATCACTGCAGCCACCACAGCGATCGCCAAACAGGACATCCCGAATATCAGGCCAGTGTTTCCTGTAGAGTCAAAAACCATTTAATTACATAAGGGTTTGGGATGTGGGAGAGGATAGATGAAGAGAGCCGAGCCGCATGTCTGTGTGGTGCTATGTATTCCCAGCACTGTGTACCACAGCACTGTGTACCATAGCACTGTGTACCCCAGCACTGTGTATCCCAGCACTGTGTACCCCAGCACTGTGTACCCCAGCACTGTGTACCCCAGCACTGTGTACCCCAGCACTGTGTACCCCAGCACTGTGTACCCCATCACTGTGTAACCCAGCACTGTGTACCCCAGCACTGTGTACCCCAGCACTGTGTACCCCAGCACTGTGTACTCCAGCACTGTGTACCCCAACACTGTGTACTCCAGCACTGTGTACCCCAGCACTGTGTACTCCAGCACTGTGTACCCCAGCACTGTGTACCCCAGCACTGTGTACCCCAACACTGTGTACCCCAGCACTGTGTACCCCAGCACTGTGTACCCCAGCACTGTGTACCCCAGCACTGTGTACCCCAGCACTGTGTACCCCAACACTGTGTACCCCAGCACTGTGTATCCCAGCACTGTGTACCCCAGCACTGTGTACTCCAGCACTGTGTACCCCAGCACTATGTACCCCAGCACTGTGTACCCCAGCACTGTGTACCCCAGCACTGTGTACCCCAGCACTGTGTACCCCAGCACTGTGTACCCCAGCACTGTGTACCCCAACACTCTGTACTCCAGCACTGTGTACTCCAGCACTGTGTACCCCAGCACTGTGTACCCCAGCACTGTGTACCCCAGCACTGTGTACCCCAGCACTGTGTACCCCAGCACTGTGTACTCCAGCACTGTGTACCCCAGCACTGTGTACCCCAGCACTGTGTACCCCAGCACTGTGTACCCCAGCACTGTGTACCCCAGCACTGTGTACCCCAGCACTGTGTATCCTGAAGCACTATTTTCCTCTGCTCCACACATCAGACACTCGCATACACTGTCGTCCCCCCCCCCCCACCCTCCTCCAGGTCGCTTCCCTACCCACCTGTATCAACATGATAGGGTATAGTGGGTACAGCGGTGGGCGGCGCAGGATCATCCAGGCAGGTGTTGGTGCTAGCGTTCTGTGTGCCCATGTTGATGGCCGCTACACACACTCTCCGGTCCGCGTCGCTGGCGTTGTATCCCATGATGGTGTACTTGGTGTAGGGGGTGACGGCGCCGTACTGGAGAGCGGGGCCCCAAGACACGTTGTAGTAAAGGTTGCTGTCGCCATTAGGTAGCCAGATGCGGTAGGACCAGGTTACGTGGAGTTCGCCGGCAACGTTGTCTCCGACCCATAGATTACTTGGCTCTGTAAAGAAGAGATTGGGGGAGTGAGAGGAAGTGGGAGTTGAGAGAGTGAAAGGGAGTTGGGGTTGAGAGAGTGAAAGAGAGTTGGGGTTGAGAGAGTGAAAGAGAGTTGGGGTTGAGAGAGTGAAAGAGAGTTGGGGTTGAGAGAGTGAAAGAGAGTTGGGGTTGAGAGAGTGAAAGAGAGTTGGTGTTGAGAGAGTGAAAGAGAGTTGGGGTTGAGAGAGTGAAAGAGAGTTGGGGTTGAGAGAGTGAAAGAGAGTTGGGGTTGAGAGAGTGAAAGAGAGTTGGGGTTGAGAGAGGGGCGTGCAGCTTCAGTTACGAGAGCATTAGTGCCTATTGTCGTAGTTACTGGTATTCACCTCCTTCTGCCTACATGATCGACCTTCAGTGTTTTGACTGTGTCTATTCAGCCGCTAGATGAAATGACTCCCGACCAATATTGCTTCAATTTTACTTTTGACCGTTTAATTCATTGTTTCAAAATATTCTAGCATTAAAATACTTTTTTATCGTCCCTATGACTCATCTGTTACTCAGGCTTCCACCCGTATGTCGACTGCTTATTTCTAGCAATGTTAGGTCTAGCTTTATCAGTCTGTCTTCACACCTCATCCAACGTAAGCCTGCAGAAACGACCTCAGTCCCTCCTTTTCAGCTGTTCACTTAATGGAATGGTTCCCGATCCGCCAGATTCGTATCATATCTACATTTCAATCTGTGTCAGGCATTGATCTCAACTTCCTTCTATTGTAATTGATGCCATTTTCTCACTCCCTTTTAACTGCATGTTTCTCTGTTTCACTAGAGCTCATCCTCCCTTTATGGCCTCTCAATCTCCCCTCACTCTTCCTAAGCACCTCTACCTTGTCAGCATTCCTTGGGGTTCTATGCATCCAAATGAAGTCTCCTGTTCCCCGTCTCTTATCTAATGAAGTTAGAATCAGCACCTTTGCCATTTCCTCGTACCTCAACCCTCTTAGTTCTGAGACCATTCATGTGGCATACATCTGGAACTTCTTGAGTTTTATCTTGACTTCTTAGATGTGGGCTCCGTGTGGGAGCTACTTACTCCAGCACTGATCTTACCTAGGTTGTTTGAAATACCCTAAATGCCTCCTTGTCCAGATTTATGAAGGCTATCCAAATGTTTGCCAGCTTTGCTGATGCCTCTAATGTGATTGTGATTCAAGTCTGTCTCCGTGTGCCCATGGAGACAGACTTGAAGTTATTACTCCCAAATCTAACTCTTTCCAGATTCAGAGATTCGCCATCCCATCATAGATTATTGTACCTGCGATCTCGTTCCTCTCTCCCCCACTCTCATTACATTACATTTACTTGGGTAGAAATTTAACAACCACATTTAAGATAACTCCCAAAGTTTGCTCAGATTGACTTGTAACCTTCTGTACTCCTAACCTATCCTACATCTGTCCAGATTGACGAAGAGTAAGCCACCCAAGAGGCGGCACGGGCATGAATAGCCCGTAAATGTTTGCAGGAGTATTGCATCGTCTCTGATTATCAACATAGGCCACTTCCTCAATTATCCTTTTTACATATTAAGGGGAAAATATTTGCTCCCAATATCACTCCTCTGCAGTACATCAATTGTAAACCTTCTTCATCCTTATTTCCGCCCTCTCACTTTGACTGTCTCATTTTTGGCAAGGACTTCTACAGCTACAGTTACACTGGAACTTCTACAGTTACAGAACTCTTCCCGTTACTCCTGCATGTATTTCAAGTTTGAGTAACATCCTGCGATGGGTAAAAAGCTTTTTCTGCTTTATCAAATTCGTCAGCCTGCACTTTTCTTTCCTACATTGACTTTAACTTTTGCTTATCGAAGAACTGTTTGTTGGCAGGACTTTCCTCTCATGACTCCCTATTTCGCGTTTATATATATATATATATATATATATATATATATATATATATATATATATATATATATATATATAGTGTGTGTCTGTGCTCAAGTCCATTCTGCTTAAATTTTTCTTTCGTGGTTAAATATTTTCACATTATTCATCACGTGTTAATTTCTTCGTGATTTAAACACACACAGTATGTGTACACACGTGTGTATATTTGTATGCATTGTGTATGTATTCACGTAGTTGAACTTGCAGGGGTTGTGTTCTGTTTTTTCTGCCCGCCTCTCAACTGTCAATCAACTAACTGTTACTAACTACTAACTAATTTTTTTTTTTCACGCGCGCACACACACACCCAGGAAGAAGCCCGTAATACCTGTCTAACTCCCAGATACCTATTTACTGCTAGGTAACAGATGCATCAGGGTGAAGGAAACTCTACCCCTTTTTTCCCATGGTGCTGGGATCGAACCCCGGTCCCTAGGTCCACGAGTCTAGAGTGCTGTCCACTCAGCCACCATCCCCCTGTCCACTCAGCCACCAGCCTCCTATATGTGTGCTTGCGTGCTTTACTATTTGTGCCTGCAGGATCAAATCAATAAATTAAACTAAATTAAAACAACGATTAAGACATGTACTTACTCGCCAATAAAGTGTTTAGAGCCACGCACGAACTATCACCAAATTGTGGCGCCACGCAGACATAACATTCGTCATTGTTGTACAAGTTGTTCCAAGTGTAGTTGGTAGTGAACACGACGTCATGTTCATCCCCGCGTGAACTGAACAGCGTCACTTCGTACCCGACGGTGGAGCTGGAGACACAGAGGGAGGGTGTCCAGGAGGCCTCGATGCTGGACCAACTCACTGCTTCCACCGTCAAGTTTTCCACCGTATCTGGGGGATGTAGTAATTTAATTTAACTAGATATCTTTGATATTATTAGTATAAAATCTCTGGAGGGGGGGGGGGGAGTTCTGTCTAGGGTTGAATGCCTGACACTTGGAGCAACCCTCAACCAGCTTTACTTCCAATTATATATATATATATATATATATATATATATATATATATATATATATATATATATATATATATATATATATATATGTGTGTGTGTGTGTGTGTGTGTGTGTGTGTGTGTGTGTGTGTGTGTGTGTGTTGTTTATGTGTTTGTGGGGGGGGGAGGAATTTTACCCACTATATCTATATTATTACCTAAGTATTATATCTCACTTTAATATAGTGTAATATATTATATTACACTATATCTAGTATTATTTCTTTATCATATCTAATTTATATAAAAATCAATATCAAAATCAATATCAAAATCATCTTAGAATCACTACAGATTCATTATACATCTTGGTTGCCTATGTGACTTGGTGCATGATTTCTCAAGGCTCTAGAAGCTTCCTGAAGGATTTCTTAATTAAAAAACTACTGGAACATTCAATCGATTTCCTTTACGGATTAAATCAAATCCTTAATAAAAATCAGTAGTACTAGCCAGTACTACTTATAATCTTTAAATCCTATATCAAATTATATTATAATCACATCTTATCTCAATCCTATATCTAGACAGTAAAAATAATCAATTAATATTCTCTGAAGGCTACCTTGCTCAGGGAGCATAGGAGGGGGGGGGGGGGGACGATGGCTGGGAGAGAAGCACCCACCACGGCCCAGAGGCCTGGGGCCAGATTCACGAAAGCACTTATGCAAGCACTTACGAACGTGTACATCTTTCCTCGATCTTTGACGGCTTTAGTTACATTTATTAAACAGTTTACAAGCATGAAAACTTCCCATTCAACTGTTGTTATTGTTAAAGCAGCCTCCTGGTGCTTCGGTGCTCATTAACTGTTTAATAATTGAAAACAAAGCCGCCAAAGATTGAGAAAAGATGTACAGGATCGTAAGTGCTTTCGTGAATCTGGCCCCAGAACACGTTTGTTTACTAACAGATTGAAACATGTGTGACGGTGCCTTTAGGAAATTAATTTTGTAAAGGACACCATAATAACTTACTTATATCCCTAGAGATTCCTCTCTAGAACTGGGGGAGTACGTGGACTTTATCTACAAGGAAATTCCTAGTAATATAATCTAAAAAGAGTGTAGAGTGGAGCACACAAAGTATCGCCGTCTCCACCTCTACCATCATCACCTATTTTAGCCTACTACGAACGCAATTAAGGATATAATCCATTAGCAACGCTACCAGAATATTATACAGCAAAGCTGTGACATAAAACATCGTGCCTAAACTCTACAAGACAAACTCTACAGACTGGATAACTCTACAAGAGAGTTATCCAGTCTGGCCACTTGTCAGACAGGCACCCGGCACTCAGTCATAAGTATACTGAATAATAATAATAATAATAATAATAATAATAATAATAATTTTTATTTAGGTAAGGTACTTACATAAAGAGATTTACAAAGTTTGTTGGCTTTATAGATAGAGCTAGTACATACAATGCCTAAAGCCACTATTACGCAAAGCGTTTCGGGCAGGTTATGTTATTTGGTGTAATATGAATGTTATTTGGTGTATTAATTGGCCAATTGTATGCTTGTATAACTTTAAAATATATTATAAATCTGTTTGTCGTTACAGGGTGAGGAGACGCCTCATATTTCAGTAAGTTTATTAATATTGTAGTGGCAGAATTTCTTCCAGGTCACCAGACATTCTTGAGGTTCAGAACCTCATGAGTGTCCCTTGTCTGGGAAGAGTCCAGACTAGCTGACCGAATCTCTTCATATAAATTGAATATATCTATCAATATATACTTGAACATATAAATTAAGTTAACAATTGCTTGCTTAGTTATCTTTAATTTATAATATAAGTTTAACCCATTGAATATAATATTTAGTACTTAGTTAACAGTACTTAGACCACATTTAAGGTCATTTGATTACATATTCATAAATATCATACTTCTACAATATAAATTATTGTGTTTATAGTATAAGAATATTGGCTGTTATAGGGCTGTTATAGTTATGGTGCTAGGCTGGACTGTGTACATATTTAGATTCCTGATTTAAACAGAACCAGTGTTCAGTTATAGAACTTAATTATTGAATCTTATTCTTGTATTAACAATACAAGCTGATGTGAGATACTTGTCTGCAGGTGGATTGTGGATCTACAATCAACTTCTCCCTTCACCACCACCACCTGCCCCTTACAGCCCACGGTCTGTCATTAGGAAAAAGAGAAGCTAGGATTTACGATCCTAGCTAGAGACTTTAGTTGAATTAATTTTGCATACAGTAATTTTTAATTTAGTACAGTACAAGTCCCTAGTAGTTCCCCTCTCATATTAATCCCGGCAAGTTTTTCCACAATATATATATATATATATATATATATATATATATATATATATATATGTCGTACCTAGTAGCCAGAACGCACTTCTCAGCCTACTATGCAAGGCCCGATTTGCCTAATAAGCCAAGTTTCATTGAATTAATTGTTTTTCGACTACCTAACCTACCTAACCTTACCTAACCTAACTTTTTCGGCTACCAAACCTAACCTAACCTATAAAGATAGGTTAGGTTTGGTTAGGGAGGGTTGGTTAGGTTCGGTCATATATCTACGTTAATTTTAACTACAATAAAAAAAAATTGACCTCATACATAATGAAATGGGTAGCTTTATCATTTCATAAGAAAAAAATTAGAGAAAATATATTAATTCAGGAAAACTTGGCTTATTAGGCAAATCGGGCTATGCATAGTAGGCTGAGAAGTGCGTTCTGGCTACTAGGTACGACATATATATATATATATATATATATATATATATATATATATATTGTGTGTGTGTGTGTATATGGTCTGCTTTATGCAGCATAAAAAAACCAAAACCCGCATTAAAACTTCCGAAATGATTATGGGAAACAGGAGAAAACTCAAAGCCAAAAATATCTAAAGTTAAATTTAATTAAAAAGAATAAGCGTTACTGCACTTACTGTGTCGGTGGTTAAACATCGTATCAGCACAAGGGTTGGTGTGAATATAAGTCATGTTACATATTATTATGCAGTTTATTTGACAATATACACATGGAAAATGTACTTAAACTCTTGAATGGACTTACAGTTATCGTTGACGGCTTAGGAGTTTTCTGATGCATGCTGGCTTGTGGACCATTCAAGCATGCACGCACGCACGAACACACACACACACACAAACACACACACACACACGCACACACACACACACGCACACACACACACACACACGCGCGCGCGTGCGTACATGGGCTGTGCTGTGGGAGCGACAAGGGCCGGCAGGCAAGACACAATGATGCTATTGACATCATCAAGAGGAGCTTTGCCTCAGCTCAGTGCCCAGCAGAGAGAGAACCTCGAATCCTAATGAACCAAAACCCGGACGATCCTGCACTTCGCCCAGATGGCATCACAATATACCCCTGGAAGAGGGGCAAACAGCAGGTGTGGGGCTACGCATGTGTATCCACCCTCGCTTTCACCTACATACACTTCGGTGGTGATCAAACAGATGAGGTGGCCAACCACAGGGAATATGTATGATGGCTCACATAGTTGCAAAAAGTACTATGTAAACAAGAGCATGGGGTTGGGAAGCTGGAGATCTTGAAGTTATCTTGAGATGATTTCGGGGCTTTAGTGTCCCCGCGGCCCGGTCCTCGACCAGGCCTCCACCCCCAGGAAGCAGCCCGTGACAGCTGACTAACTTCCAGGTACCTATTTACTGCTAGGTAACAGGGGCATTCAGGGTGAAAGAAACTTTGCCCATTTGTTTCTGCCTCGTGCGGGAATCGAACCCGCGCCACAGAATTACGAGTTCTGCGCGCTATCCACCAGGCTACCAGGCCCCATACAGACAAGTCATGTAAATAGGGGGAAAAATATTGCTTAAATGCAAGCAAGAGGAACATATATGACACATATAAAGACAGTCATTACATCACATGATTGACAGCGAAACGGGGCCAAGGAGCTGAAGCACGACCCTGTAACTTCTACTATGTAAGTACCAAAAGAAGGACGTCAATACCTTTCAAAGTTTCTAGGTAAACATGCTGACTGTCTCCCACGGTGTGATTGTCTTTATCTAAGACATCGCAGATCAATGTATACTCCGTCCTTATCTTCAAGTCTTGGAAGACGTGTTCGGTGGTGGTCGTGTCCTTGGTATAAAAGATCTCGCCGTCTCTCAGTGAAATTCTGAAGTGGGTAGCTTCCGGGCACACATTGTTGTAGATCCACGTCACCGTCAGGGTAGTGCAACCGGGTATGGCAGTTATGTTATCCAAGAGCGGCACCACATCTGCAGAATATATAGCCTAAGGAGACCGCGGTTATGTTTGCAATGTAGGGTAAAGAACGGAGGTCCCAGGACAGAGCCCTTCAACACTCCACTTGCCACAATTTCCCACTCGAACACTGCTTCATTTGGGATGACCCTCATGTTTCCTCTGATGCAAACATGACCCTAATCCACTTTAAGAAATCCCCACTCAATAAAATTTGCTCACTTTAGCTTCTTATTATTTTGCCAGTAATACTATTAAAGACCTGGCTAAAGTGAGAGCCTCAAGTAGTAATATTTTCCACTCAACCGCTGCAAAAATGCTGGAGCAATGAAAGTTTATTAAACATAAACTGCCCTCAATAAAGGCGTGCTGTGAAGTCTTTATTAGTTCTTTGTTTTTCAAGTTATTTCAAAGGAAACAGAGAGTTAGCATAAATGAAGTCAAATCCAATAAATAAATTGTCCCAAGAGGAGTATCCCAGGGCTATATCCTTGATCGTTAGTTTACCATATATATATATATATATATATATATATATATATATATATATATATATATATATATATATATATATATATATATATATATATGCAACAATGATCACAAAAACACTGATCCAAGTATGCAGAATAACCACATATGAAAAATAGAAAATGCTTAACGCGTTTTCGGCTAATTCGCCTTCATCAGAGCAAAGTAGAATTCTACTTTGCTCTGATGAAGGCGAATTAGCCGAAAACGCGTTAAGCATTTTCTATTTTTCATATGTGGTTATTCTGCATATATATATATATATAAACGACTTAGAAAATATCAACAACACTAGCAAATTTCCCGACGACACTAATTAGGGCCTGAAATAGTTCAGACGAAGAATCAAACACGGTACAAAAATGACTTAAATGTACTTTATAATGGGGATAATTTAGTTTAATGCTGAAAACGTAAAGTTCTCAGCCTAAGAAATTATAACAATTACCAAACATGAGCTAAATCATGACATTCCCAAATCTGAAATCAGATTCGTATGGAACTAAATAAGGCAAATAAGGTACTGGGAGACTTACGAAGAAGTTCTATCGATAAAATATCTAACGTTAGTCTTAAATTTTTTCTTGTATGTATTTGGCCCCATTTATAATATAAAACTCACTTTAGGGCACTCTATTATAAACTGTACATAAATTCCCAAGAAAATATAACAAGGAGGCTATTATCAGGATGCAACACACACATCAACATCAAAAAGTTAAATAGTGAATACAAATTTATTACATCATTATTCAGAATAATTTTGGTAAATACTAGTTTACAAGTACCGTAACGAAGCAGATTTAAAAAGCAGGAGCCAGATTCACGAAGCAGTTATGCAAGTACTTAGAAACGTTTTCGTTCTTACCATCTTCGTGGTGGCTACGTCGGGATTCAGGAAGTCATTTAAGAACGCTGATATTCCTAAGAACACCGCCTCGCCCTACGACACCTCCAGACCAGTCGTAGCTTTACGTAAACTGTATAAAAATCAAGCAGTCTCTACTACACAAACCCGAGGATCGAATTTAATATAAACGAACATTTTTGCTGACGTGTTCATCAAGAAGGCGTCCTTCATGTTGCCTATATATGCATTCTCTGCTTATAACTTGTAATAATTATGTCTTTTCATAGTATAATTAGATTTATAATAGCAAGATTCTATTCCAGTAGTTATTAAGTAAATAAACACTGGTGAACTTGAAATATGTGAGTAAGTAATGGGACAGGAAGGGAAGGCTTGGAATGCATTTACTATCACCTAATGCATCTGTTCACCTAGCAGTAGATATAGCTACCTAGGAGTTAGTCAGCTTGTTCTGAAGATGCATTTTGTTGGGGGGGGGGGCGATATAGGCATAACATGTATATAATTAATAATAATAATTTACTATGTCGGGGACAGGTAGCCAGGTATATATAATTGTTAGGCTTATATCGAGGTCGATCCTCCCCTCCCAAAGGTCGAATTACTGACCCTCCAAAGGATGGAACTCCACAACAAGCTGACTAACCCTTGGGTACCCATTTATTGCTAGGTGAACATGTGCATTAGGTGAAAGGAAATGCGCCCAGCCCGCCCAGGATTCGAACCCGGAATTCTCGATTGTGAGTCGAGAACGAAACCGACTGTACTACCGGGACCCTCATATATATATACATTCTGGCTGGCTGTCCCATGACACAAAGAATTATTAAATAAATTATTATTTCAAACTTTGTCAGCACAAGCAGGAAGGCCCTTTGTTGGTTTGCAATACTAACTACATCCTGTATAATAGTGTAATTAGTAAAAAGTCTAATTAGATTGGCTAATCCTGTAAGATGAAGAATGTTGCCTTCTCTCTGACTGGCTAAACGATAAGCCCTAGTAACGTCTATCGAGACTTGAGTGAACTACATCAAAATTGCTGATAACTGCCTCCGAACACCTTCCTGAATCGTACGTAGGGCTCATCTTACCCAGCACTTAAGAACCTTCGTAGCACAGCTACTTAATACATGGTGCTTCGTGAATCGAGGTTCAGATTACCAGGTAGTTTACCAGGAGGCCTGATCGACGACCGGGCCGCGGGGACGCTAAGCCCCGTAAGCACCTCAAGGTAAGGAAGGACCTCAAGGTAGTATAACAGCCTCCATCTTAAAATTAGACCGAATCGTGGCTCTATAAGCAGTTAAAAATAACCCTGTGGTAGGTAGGAGATACCAACCAGATCCATGGTAGGAGATGTCCTGGAGGACAACATCGCTATCACCATCTCCACCAACGTTCCACAAGCGGACGCGGCCCGTGGTCGACTGACACAGCCCCTGCCAGTAGAAGCCACGGAGGCCACTGGAGTTAATGGGAGTCCCAACGTTGTTTAACTCTAACTGGATGTTCGCCTCCTTCAGGCACGTTGGCTCCTCCACCGCCGGGTTGGTCCAGGATATGGTGAGGTTGGCTGACTCTATTGCCACGGTAACGTTTGCGAACGATGGCGGGGCTGAAATGACGAGGCGGGTGTAATATATTTAATTCTATTATTTAAGCAATGTTACGTGTGGTATGCAGTGTCCTGTCTGTAGTATTACAGTGAGTGCTGTACGTATTACAGTGATATCCGTGTCTTATGTCTCTTTCTCTTACGGCGGGTGATGTCAGTGTCTCATGTCTCTTGTGTCATGGCGGGTGATGTCCGTGTCTCATATCTCTTGTGTCACGGCGGGTGATGTCCGTGTCTTATGTCTTACATTTCGTCTCTCTGTCTATTACACACAAGGCCTAAGGCTTGCTCTTAGACTCTTTAAAACATATAGTCCCACTATAATATACTCGGGACTTTCTTAGTTTATCATGATACTTTAGGCTACGTCCAGCTGTCCGCGTACATCAGTTCATACACCACTCCTAGGAAGTGAGTCTTGCTGTCCATGGTTGCATTAAACCACAGCCCACACACGTACTTACAGATAATTCCTTACCAATCATATTATAACGACGCATTATACTCTACAAAGAATTACGTTAATAAGTCTACGTCTTATCACTAAAACTACAATATTGTTTCCCATCATCTAGGGAACTGAGAGCGAATAAACAACATCTGTATTGTTTGCTAACTTAGTAAATCATCTTCATGTTCAGCCCGTCCTCCAAACGAAGACCCAAAAGTGATTCCATGCACCCGCCAAACCCCCTGTTTATGAACGAAAAGCGGTTTACACACGACTCACAACTGCTGACGTTCGAACATATCCGGAACAAGTGCTTCACTGACGAATTTTGTTCGAATCACAACGCTATAAATGCTTCACGCACGTACTACAAATTTCATAAAATGCTTCACCCACGTACTTTCATTCATAAACAGGGGGTTTGGCGGGTGCATGGAATCACTTTTGGATCTTTGTTTGGAGGACGGGCTGTTAAACACGACTCACAACTGACGAAGTTCGATCATTTCTTAAACAGTGCTTCGCTGACGACCTCTGTTCGAAACGCAACGACATAAATGCTTCATTCACGTATTTCATATACAAATAATCGTCAACGAAACTTAAATCCCTAACCTAACCTATGCCTATCTATACAAATAATTTGAATGTATAATAATATCAACTTATATATTTATATACATATAAGAAGAAATCAATTTTTAATACATAGTATGTTAAAAACTAATGAGTGCGTGCGGTGGGGGATGGCCGCTCTCCTAACGAGTCTAGCTTGAGGACACGTTGCACCCCACGTACTTCAAATGTGAATAATTAACAAAAGAACCCGAACAAAATACCGATTTAGAGAACACTGTCGGTTTAAATTTATTAATATTATCTTAGGGATCGACCACAGCCTGGGTGAGCCTGGCCTCGGGACGGTTTGTTGACATGAGAAAAGGAGGAAAGTGTCAACTTAGTGGTTCCCCGCGTGGTTACTCCTGAACAACACGTCAACAGGCCCACACAACCCTCCCGTCTCCCTCCAGCAGAGGGAAGACGTGGAGGGAGTGGCGGCGGGTCATACGCGGTCGTCATAAGTGTATTTATCTGTGGTTTCTGTGACATGTCAAAACTAGAAGGAGTACCTGTAGTGATGAACACTTCGGGCGCTGTGTAGGTCCCGCCGCTGACGGAGACCTCGACGTTACTGCAGGGGTCGATTAAGCCACAAGACTGACTGTAGTACCTGCAGACTGGAGTCGTGCAGGAGATGGACTGAGCAGCAGACGCGCAGGACGCAAACAGAACGAGCAGAGGAAGGTAGGTGTTAGTTCCAGTACCAATATTGTTACTTGTTCCAGTACAGAAACACATGTCATCTGCATGGTAAAGGGTATTTCTTATGAAGCTAAAAAGAAGGGGATATTTAACAAGGCGAGAATATGTTGTGTTGGACATAAGCATCCAAGAAGTTACTATGGTTTTGGACGGTAGGAGGTGGAGGAAGGAGTAGTTTCCATTTAATGACCAAAGGGTAAGGATAATTTGTATCCTAAAGAGGACCCAAATGAAGGATGAGGAAGGCGACTCTGAGGGAAGGTTAAGTTTAGTGGCCTGTCTATGAATCTGTTGAATCAGTGTTGTGTGAGTCGGGTGGTGAGAGGTTTTGGTGGTACATAAGCCTTGTGAGGCTGTCGTTGTTCTGGTGGGAGAGTTCCAGTGACGTTGGCTTAGGCAAGGGTTGGCCAAGGATGACGTTGGCTTAGGCAAGGGTTGGCCAAGGATGACGTTGGCTTAGGCAAAGGTTGGGCAAGGATGACGTTGGCTTAGGCAAAGGTTGGGCAAGGATGATGTTGGCTTAGGCAAGGGTTGGGCAAGGATGACGTTGGCTTAGGCAAGGATGACGTTGGCTTAGGCAAGTGTTGGCCGAGGATGACGATAGCTAACTATCAAACTTCCTCCACTGGTTGCTTGCTTTGTATTTTGTCTTGCTCTGAGGAGTTCCTGGGAGCAAAATGAGTCAACTCAGTGTGGCTACAACAGTAGAGGTAATGTGCTTAAATAAATGTAATACAAAAGCCCATCGCATCGTGAGATTAGACGAATACTGCGACCTTCGTCTCTGCCTCCCTCTCTTCCAGTCTCTCTTGCTTCCATCATGCACCACAATACTCTCTTCATCAGTCCACCATCATCCACTCGTTCAATACAAGTATATTAACTGAGTACTCTTCTACTGCTTGCATTTTCCAGAATTGGCTCTCCACATTCTGCTATGAAATGTTGAACCCTTCATCTTGCTATGGCATTTTGAACTCCCCCCCCCCCCACATCTTGCTTTCAGAATTTAAAACCCAAATCTTGCAATGGCTTTTGAATGGGTACACATCTTGTACCCGTTCAACACACACACACACACACACACACACACACACACACACACAACAAATGTACATACACGCTGTAACGATGTTAACGTCATCTGTCGTCCGCACCTGACCCCATTTTCAGTGTTCACACTATTGGAAGGCTGCGGTCTCGCTGAAACGGGCGTAGTTTCCTTCGTACTATATGAAGGTTTTCCTCAGAAATGACGCGAGAGGTTTGTATATGGCGGAAGGCAGTCCACCAGGAAAGGCCAGCAAGGGCAGCCCTCATGAATGCGAGGCATGTTTCGGTCGGAACACGAAGGCCCTGGTCGTTGAAGGCAGTGACCTGTCTGTGGTAGCCAGCGAGCTATTGGTGTTGGAACGACGTATCCCGGGGTGGCCCAGTTGTCTTCGTAGACGGAGAGAACGTCCGTCTGTCCTCTGAGTTAAGGCTTGTTTATGGTTAAGTCTCGAGAGGACGCCAGCCAGTGTGTTAATAGTTAGTGTTTAGACACTGTGATGATACTGTGGAGGACTGGCCCGTGAAATGTTGGGAAAGTGGACTCATCTGCGTGAGTACCTCAGAAGGGGTCACACAGGGAAGGAGCCCTGAACGTTGTGCTAGAACTCACCGTGATAGAAGATCGCAGAGGTTTAGGTGGTGTCCGGAGTGAAAGCGACACGTAGGGTGTTATCGGTGATGTATATATCTTGGTGTATGTTTATTGCGAATATATACCTGTACACTGTATTTAAGGACAGGTGATGGTTTTGTCTAGTGATGTTTAACCTCCCCCTCCTTCCTCGTTTGGTCGTCTATTACTGCTCAGTTCTTGATAACTTCTCCCTGACTTGGGGTTGGATCTGTGAAGAGGCTCTAAGGACCTATAGAGAGACGAAAAACACCCCAAAGATTAAACACACACACACGAACGCACACACTCACTGATATACTCTTCCCCCCTCCCCACACATACTCTCCCCCCCTCCCCACACATACTCTTCCCCCCTCCCCACACACACATACTCTCCCCCCCCCCCACATACCTTGTTATTGCAAGGGTGCTGTGTGCCGTTTGGGAAGGCTGTGTTGATGGTGAAGTAAACAATGCCATACCACTCTTCTCGACGCTCCCAGCTCAGCTCGAAGTGATCTGTTGACACCGTGGTAACTCCCACAGTCTGGCCTGGACCACCACACAAGGGAAGACAACAATATATATATATATATATATATATATATATATATATATATATATATATATATATATATATATATATATATATATATACTCATTCACCCTCTTTCTCTCACTCTCTATCTCTCCTCCTCTGTGTTTTTTCTTAACTAAGACTAAGGGTTCATTAGGGTTGTGGACTGAAGTACCTAGTGAAGCTGTTAGCACGAGCTATAATCCCGACCAATCCTTGAGCCGATCCCGACCAAGGTAGTGAACTGCTTTTGGAACTTTGATCCACTTCACATACACATTATTATATTTGTGTCATTTTGTTGTGTTATCATGTTCCTTTTAACTTCAACATTTAGCTTTTATTTGATCTTTTCACTTGTCTCTCTTTCTTATTTATATTCTTAACCCGTCGCATCATTCAGATTACTCCCTCAATGGTTTTTCCTTCGAGATTTCCACCTATTTTTTATCATTAGCAGTTAACGTTGGTCTTCTGGTAAAGTCTTAGTGATTCTCTTGCATCATTGACTGGCGCTGTCAGTCACTTAAGTCTCAGCCTTATCTTACACAGCACACCCTTGAGATTAGACTTGTTTCCTAGTAGTACCAGTCTCGTTGATGTCATCAGAGTCCACATATTCATCACACGATGTCCTTCAACAGCACGTAATAAAGGCGTTCTCTGTCCCATCATGTTTATTTCGGGTTATTCACCGGTGTACTGAACCTCTTGATGCCTCTGATGTGGGATTGTGATGCACTGATTTGTTAATATATCTTAGTTTAAGAGGTTCAATATTTTCAGGATCCATTATTTTCAGGACCCATTATTTTCAGGACCCATTATTTTCAGGACCCATTATTTTCAGGACCCATTATTCTGGGCGACATGAAGTCATTCACACTACAACACCCGCCTCCCCCATGTCCTCTTAGGGTTACCACTGTACTCCCTTCATCTACATGTCCTACACCTTCACCAACGTTAACCTTCTACCCTTGATAACTTAATATCAACAGATATGCCCGGCTACTCTACACGTACATAAATGTGTGTGTGTGTGTGTGTGTGTGTGTGTGTGTGTGTGTGTGTGTGTGTGTGTGTGTGTGTGTGTGTGTGTGTGTGTGTGTGTGTGTGTGTGTGTGTAATTACCTAAGTAATTACCTAAGTGTAGTTACAGGATGAGAGCTACGCTCGTGGTGTCCCGTCTTCCCAGCACTCTGTCATATAACGCTTTGAAACTGTGTGTGTGTGTGTGTGTGTGTGTGTGTGTGTGTGTGTGTGTGTTTTTGCGTGTGTGTGTGTGTGTGTAATTACCTAAGTAATTACCTAAGTGTAGTTACAGGATGAGAGCTACGCTCGTGGTGTCCCGTCTTCCCAGCACTCTTTGTCATATAACGCTTTGAAACTGTGTGTGTGTGTGTGTGTGTGTATGTGTGTGCGTGTATGTGTGTGCGTGTGTGTGTGTGTGTGTGCCTTAACGCATAAACAACACCATGACCCAATTAAAATAGGTATTACAAATGGTGTCTAGGTATCAGAGTTCTCAAACTAATAGAAGTAGTGCTATTCAAGACACAAATCTTCTTTAAACTTATCTGCAGTCCAAAAATAAGTCGTACATGACACCACTGCTAACGTTAACCACCAACGGAATAACATTCAGAGTTCCTCTACATCCACAACGTGTGATACCAGACGTACTTACTGTCCACACCGCTGCTGGCCCAACACACCTGTCGAACACGTAAATATTACTATCCAATAATCATAAAAAGTATTTATTTGTAAAAAGTATTTTAAAAAGTATTTGCGTAATAGTGGCTTTAGGCATTGTATGTACTAGCTCTATCTATTAATCCAACAAACTTTGTAAAATCTCTTGTATGTATGTACCTTACCTAAATAAACATTTATTTTATTTATTTATTTTATTGTATACTTCGTGTTATGTATGTCATGTATTAGTATTTTAATTTTTATTTATTGATTTATTTATACAAGAGATTTTACATTCTTGTAGAAACCGCAGAGCATTTCGGACTGGTTCTAAATCCTAATTTTCCCCGGAATACGACCCGCCAAAGTCGTTTAACAACCAGATACCCATTTTACTGTTAGGTGAACAGAGGCTTCAGTTAAGGATTGACACCCAGTCAATCCTTCCCGGCCAGGATACGAACCCAGGCCAAAGCACTCGTTACCACTGCGCCACAAGGGGACAGGCAATTATTAATAGATATATGTAATTATCTGTTCCAACTTTAATACTTGAAATCTAATTCTTTATACACAAAGCCTGTTATTTTTGCTTGTTGAATGTTGAAAGCAAGTTGTTCCCTGTACTGTTATCTGGAGGAGAAGGACAAGATTTGATAACGGATCAAATCGTGTGAACTCACCTATTTGTGCTTGCGGGGGTTGAGCTTTGGCTCTTTGGTCCCGCCTCTCAACTGTCAATCAACTGGTGTATAGATTCCTGAGCCAACTGGGCTCTTATCATATCTACATTTGAAACTGTGTATGGAGTCAGCCTCCACCACATCACTGCCTAATGTATTCCATCCGTTAACTACTCTGACACTGAAAAAGCTCCTTCTAATGTCTCTGTGGCTCATGTGGGTACTCAGGTTTCCACCAGTGTGGAAACCTGAGTGCGTGTGTGTGTGTGTGTGTTTACTAGTTGTGTTTTTACGGGGGTTGAGCTTTGCTCTTTCGGCCCGCCTCTCAACTGTCAATCAACTGTTTACTAACTACTTTTTTTTTTTTTCCACACCACACACACACACACACCAGGAAGCAGCCCGTGACAGCTGACTAACTCCCAGGTACCTATTTACTGCTAGGTAACAGGGACATTCAGGGTGAAAGAAACTTTGCCCATTTGTTTCTGCCTCATGCGGGAATCGAACCCGCGCCACAGAACTACGAATCCTGCGCGCTATCCACCAGGCTACGAGGCCCCGCGTGTGTGTGTGTGTGTGTGTGTGCCTGGGTGGTTTGTTTTGTGTCGTCGTGAGACAGCCGTCGTTCGAGTGTTTTCTGGTATTACATTAACTGTTTAACATAGACTCTAAGATGTAATGGGTTGAGTTGCATTTATGTGATAACATTAGTTTTAAAAAACATTTATCTTGTATGGAAATAGATTACCGCTAGGTTGGGTTTAAGTAAGTTTGGGTTGGGTAAGGTTAAAGTAGATTAGATGTGCGTTAAAGAGTGACGCACTGGAGTACGTACTTTCCTCAGGTTTCAGACCCTGCTGAGTTCACCAGGGCGCAGAGTACTTACCAGCAGAGGCAGGAGAAAGCACCATGGAGTAGTGCCAATGACAGCCATCTTGACCAACACTGCTAGACCCACAGTGGCTACACTGGGGACTGTAACGAGAGGCTTCGTTATCACCGTACACCCCCACCCCCCCCCTCAGCCTTTGTATACCTTATCTTCTTATTATCTTATCTCTAATATTTTGCACTCTTAGGCTTTCTTCTATTCTTAATTGTTTTTTTCATTTCTGCGTCTGCTTCATCACCTTCCACATCTTCCTCCATCATCATACTCATCATCCTGTTCTCATATGCCTCATCTTCTCCTCACGAAGCCAACCTGCCATCCAGGTATAATAGTACTCATAGTTACTATGATGGAAGTACATAGTATAGAATGTTGAGTACCAAAAATCATCTGCGTTTGGGACTAGTAGTTGTGTAGAGGGGACGACAAAGACGGTAGCAACGGGAACTAATGATTTCTTTGGCCTTGCATAGTACATATATGTACTAAATTAGGCCTGAGAGTGCAGATGATAGGCCTAGGATTGTTTATTTAGGCAGGGGACAGGATAGGTTTAGGGGTCACATTGTTTCACCTTTTCGTAATGTACAAAATCTGTACATTTTGTACATGGTACAAAATGTGGATAACGGTCCAGTTTTGTACATTCCTTTTGGAGCTGTTATATAGGGTCTCTTGTTTTGTTTTTATGTGAGGCTGGAGTGCTATTCTTACTCATCACCACCACTCACCTCATACTCATACTCATCCTCATCCTTTCCGTTAATCATCTCTCCACTCTTGCCACTTATCCTTCATCCACTGTTATCCCATCTCCAGTCATTACTTCTCTCATCCCTCATTCTTGTCTAATTCCTTTTTCCATTCCCTTTTTTCTTTGCTCTTCCTCCCATTTCTTCCCTTCCTATTCCTCTTCTTCTTCAATCTCCTCCGCCCACTTCTTCTCATTTGCAAGTCCTTACCTACCCATACTAACCTATCAGTGACCAAGGGGAAGTAACCTCCAGCTCTCAATGCCCGGCCTAACTAGCCTCGCTGTACCCGATGCGTTGTAGCCTAACTACTCTGACGAACCAATTCTGGCCTTAAAGTTGTGGATAGAGGTGGTTTCCACAACTTCCTCTTTCAGTGCATAGAACTTGTTGACCACCCATACAGGATATATACCAGTATTTCATAACATTTCTTCGACTCACTGCGATGTCAGCTTCCAGTTATATACCTGTCTCTTTCTCAATTTAAAGAACTTGTCTTGAACATCACGTCTATTAATTCTTCCATGGTATCTTGTGTGTCGTGATCATATCCACTTCTCACCTCACCTCCTTGTCAGGGACATCAAGGAAACGTGTATCTGGTGCCAAGGTTAGGCCCAGGCAGCCTCGCTTTGGTATAAGGGTACCTTGATATCAGTAACAGGTATGCCAGTATAATAGGTATATCGGTCTAGTATTAGGTATACCAGTGCAGTATTAGGTATACCAGTGCAGTATAAGGTATACCAGTGCAGTATTAGGTATACCAGTGCAGTATTAGGTATACCAGTGCAGTATTAGGTATACCAGTGCAGTATTAGGTATACCAGTATACAGTTATATGTTATCAGTCCCACAACACCCACTAGCGATAACCAATGATGATGAACAACAGGATATTGCTGAGAATATAAACACGTTCATTAGATAAGGTAATGATAGTCACAGGGTACTCCGCTGCCATTTTTTTCCTCTACCACAGACGTGGCCAGACATTTACAATGCTAACCAGCATATATACATTTTCTTGTGTCTTCCATGGACAGGGTGAGAGATGTGTTAAACATGTAGTTCTGGGATTTATTGAACAATCAGCCACAGAAGGTGATTGTAGTGCTCTTAAAAATGGTAATGTAAGCTACATACAGATGTACATCCCAGTGAGTGTTCCTCCTTCACCTCTTCCTCCACCTCTTCCACATCTTCCCTTGCCCCGGTCAAGGGAACCGGTCGGGAGCCGGTCGGCCGAGCGGACAGCACGCTGGACTTGTGATCCTGTGGTCCTGGGTTCGATCCCAGGCGCCGGCGAGAAACAATGGGCAGAGTTTCTTTCACCCTATGCCCCTGTTACCTAGCAGTAAAATAGGTACCTGGGTGTTAGTCAGCTGTCACGGGCTGCTTCCTGGGGGTGGAGGCCTGGTGGCCTAATAAGTATTCAGACCAACTGGTCATCATGTGTGGAGGCCTCAACAGCGACAGAAAGTCTCATGGAAGTTCCCTCAGGAATTAATGAGGTATTTTTGCAGTTGCATTTAGAACCGCCTCATTTGTTTTAATGTTTACTGTTCCATAGGCTGTGTGAGTCTACGGGTCTATAACCCCAATGGGTTAAGGAGCATCTCCAGTTGCCGTCCATTGTAACTTGTTGAGCTTAATCCAGGGAAGAATTAAAAACAGCAGATAATTATTTAACAAGCGAATGTACATTTTAATGCCTATCCCGGTAAATTATATCCAAATTCACAGAAATAATGGAGCTTAAAGCTGTTTGTTTCCCACAGTTGGATGGGACGGTGGGAAGATGGGAAGCTTGCTGGGATAGTCGAGGTCCGCCTATAGTGACCAACTACTGATCTTCCCCAGAATACTCACCACACCACCAGGAGACCTGGTCGACGACCGGGCCGTGGGGTCGCTAAGCCCCGGAATCACCACAAGGTAACAACAGTTCCCCGAGTCCTGGAGGTCTGTTTACTGCTAGGCAACTGCGTCTGCCTGGAAAAGTATTGATAGATTAGTCTCGACTCTCTTCCTGTCATGTCTGGCAGCAACCCATCCTCGCACTAGGCTGGTTAAAGCAGCGGCCGTCCTCCCCAGACGCATTCATCAATTTTAACATACAGAATATTAAAAAATGGTTTGTCTCGTATATAAATGAATATTATTATACATACAAATTCTATGTATAGTTAGGCATAGGTTAGGTTAGGTGTTTAGGTTCTGTTGGCGATTATTTGTATTTCAAGTACGAGGGTGAACCATTTGTAGAATTGTGGTTCGAACAGAGGACGTGACCGAAGTACTGGATCCGGAAGTGTTCGGACGTCGTCAGTTAAGATGATGTTTTTTTTGTGTTATTAAGCCACCCAAGAGGTGGCACGGGCATGAATAGCCCGTAAGTGGTAAAATTTGTGTTCAGTAAATGTATACAGTGTGCTGAGGTCGCAATTAATCGTCAGGCTGCTATTGCGGGGGGAGGATACTGCTTGACAGTCTTCATGAGGGGTCTCTAACTGCTGGACACCTTATTTGACCAGAAGAGTAGCAGTGTTGATGGCTTCAGGGTGGTTACTGCAAGATTCAGGAACTCTTAAAGCTCGTCTAAGTTCGTTGGTTGCTTCACATTCCAGGAGATAGTTAAGCAGTGGCTTTTCTGTGGCTGTTTGGCAGAAGATGCACTCTCTCTGTCTGGGTTAACCAATCTCCCAGTTGCATCTGTAACCTAGACGTAGTCTATATAACCCAACTGCTATTTCCCTGTGGATTCCTTTTGGGAAATTTAACCTTTCTAACTTGGTGGCCTGAAGATACCATATTGCAGAGGGCGAACCTTCTGCTACTCTCTGGTGTAGCTGGGCTGTGTTGAGGTGTGAGTGGTTTATGAGGTTTTTCATGAGGTTTTTTATGTACTCGAGGTATTGGCAGGTTATGCCTTTCGTATTGGCGTATACCTTTCCATTGGTGACTTTCAGCGCCGTGGAGAGGGGGGACCTGCTGCCTGGGTAACAGCTTCTACCCCGAATCAACCTACCCTGGCTTTGTGCCCTGGAGAGGCCACTCCAGACCAGGCCGACACCAGAGCGCAACTCCATACTCTCCTGTGACTGATGGATGCCTACTACTCTAGGCTGGGTTGGATTGTTTTATGTATCTCTGGATGACGAATTGCCAATTTAGCAATTTCATCGGCTTTCTCATTTAATGGGCTTCCAACATGGGACGTGTGTAACCCGCTTTTCATTCATAAACAGGGGGTTTGGCGGCTGGATTAACGAGCTTGGATCTTTGTATGCGTTGACGGGCTGCTGGCAGTTCACGTTATTTAATTATAATAATAATAATAATAATAATTTTTATTTAGGTAAAGGTACATACATAGAGATTTTACAATGTTTGTTGGCTTTATAGATAGAGCTAGTACTGTACATACAATGCCTAAAGCCACTATTACGCAAAGCGTTTCGGGCAGGAAAAAACACTAATGACTAAAGCTTAAAACTAATGGGTAAAAAGAATAAAATGTGTTGAGTACAAATAAAAATAGAGGTAAAAGAGGGGGGAACATTGTTGAATTATATGATTGAACTGAATCAGGGGACAGGCAGCGTGTGTATATAGACGTGTTAGGCTTATATTGAACCCTCCCCCCCCCCCTCAATGTCAAACTACAGACTTGATTTTTCCCAGGATGCGACCCCATAACTAACTCACGGTTACCTATTTGCTGCTAGGTGAACAGAGGCATTAGATGATAAGAAATGTGCCCAACAATTTCTGTCCCACCTGGGAATCTAACCCAGGATTCCGGATTGTGAGTCGAGAACGAACCCAACTGTACTACAGTTTTCTACCTACATCTCTGATTTCCCAGCGCACATTAACTAAAAATCAAATGCATATTGACGAATGAAAAAATTAAATTTTTATAGTTACCCTTAATTGTTATGGAAGAAAACTTTTCAGTAAATGAAAGAAAATTTTACATTTTATTGGTGTCTCCTGTAAATTAATTCACGTCCAAACGGAAACCTTACCTGAATATATTTAACGGTCTACCATTTATTTAAGTGTCCTTGGCGGGGACAGGAAGCCGGCAACTTGTCAAAAATTCCCACTCCTTTTTTTTTTGTTTTTCCTGATAACTTTTTGCAACTGGATTTTGAACTGCAGTAATTTTTTAAAATTGATATTTACGAGGCTAGCGGGTAGGAAGTTCCACGGGTTTATAACCTTAATGGGAAAAAAATCTCCTATTTGCTGTCCTACTCCGGCGAATTCTTCAGTAGCGTCCACAACTCTTGAGGTGAATGACATAGTAAGTGTAGATGGACCCACTTTGTAAGTGTAGATGGACCCACTTTGTAAGTGTACATGGACGCACTTTGTAAGTGTAGATGCGGTCATACCGCGATCTTTATTTTTATTTTTTATATTTTTTGATTTGAGCAAGTCCATCTTATCTTTACTGAACCTGCTCTATGGTCGTATCCGACCACACACCATCCCAGAATCTGCTCGGTCTGGGAATAGTGAAGAAGCCTTGTGGAGAACATTTTTGAAATTCTCTAATTATAATTTTGTTTTCCAGTTGAAGCATTTTTTTTTTTTTGAGATATATACAAGAGTTGTTACATTCTTGTACAGCCACTAGTACGCGTAGCGTTTCGGGCAGGTCCCTGGAATACAATCCCCGCCGCGAAGAATCGTTTTTTCATCCAAGTACACATTTTACTGTTGCGTTAAACAGAGGCTACAGTTAAGGAATTGCGCCCAGTAAATCCTCCCCGGCCAGGATACGAACCCATGACATAGCGCTCGCGGAACGCCAGGCGAGTGTCTTACCACTACACCACGGAGACTTTGAGATTAACATGTGCAGGATATTGCGAAGTGGAAGTGGTCGGCTGCATGGAAGTGTGGCAGCCTTTGCTGTACACTCTACATAGTCTCCTTGGCTGGGCGCCTTCTTTTGATAATTACTTGCACTGTATAGATATAGATTACTTTACTGTATAGATATAGCTGCCAGTCACCACAGCGCTCACCTCTGATAAACATACACAATCTTTACCATATTTATGTAATGAGTCTAAAGTTTTGCAAGCGCCCACCCGCAGTTTAAGCATTTTTTTTACATTCCATTTAAACAAATTTGTTAATTTTTTCAACAATCTGAGAGTCAACTGTTTTCCGGCTGGCTCTTCGGGTGGAGAGATTGTCCGGCGTCGGCTATACCGAGAGTTGCCATTGGTGGGTGGGGCGTGGTGGGCTCTTGATGTGCTCACGGGCATGGTGGGCTCTTGATGTGCTCTCGGGGCATGGTGGGCTCTTGTTGTGCTCTCGGGGTATGGTGGGCTCTTGTTGTGCTCTCGGGGTATGGTGGGCTCTTGTTGTGCTCTCAGGGCGTGGTGGGCTCTTGTTGTGCTCTCGGGGCATGGTGGGCTCTTGTTGTGCTCTCAGGGCGTGGTGGGCTCTTGTTGTGCTCTCGGGGCATGGTGGGCTCTTGTTGTGCTCTCAGGGCGTGGTGGGCTCTTGTTGTGCTCTCGGGGCATGGTGGGCTCTTGTTGTGCTCTCGGGGCATGGTGGGCTCTTGTTGTACTCTCGGGCATGGTGGGCTCTTGTTGTGCTCTCGGGGCTTGGTGGGCTCTTGTTGTGCTCTCGGGCATGGTGGGCTCTTGTTGTGCTCTCGGGCATGGTGGGCTCTTGTTGTGCTCTCAGGGCGTGGTGGGCTCTTGTTGTGCTCTCGGGGCGTGGTGGGCTCTTGTTGTGCTCTCGGGGCATGGTGGGCTCTTGTTGTGCTCTCAGGGCGTGGTGGGCTCTTGTTGTGCTCTCGGGGCGTGGTGGGCTCTTGTTGTGCTCTCGGGGCATGGTGGGCTCTTGTTGTGCTCTCAGGGCGTGGTGGGCTCTTGTTGTGCTTTCGGGGCATGGTGGGCTCTTGTTGTGCTCTCAGGGCGTGGTGGGCTCTTGTTGTGCTCTCGGGGCGTGGTGGGCTCTTGTTGTGCTCTCGGGGCATGGTGGGCTCTTGTTGTGCTCTCAGGGCATGGTGGGCTCTTGTTGTGCTCTCGGGGCATGGTGGGCTCTTGACGTGCTCTCGGGGCATGGTGGGCTCTTGTTGTGCTCTCGGGGCATGGTGGGCTCTTGACGTGCTCTCGGGGCATGGTGGGCTCTTGTGGGGCATGGTGGGCCACTAGATCTTGCCCTGCCGATGGTAACTGGAAGACGGTTTTGCGTTTTTGTACAATTGAGCTCTAATGAAGAAGGGGACCATCTCGATTCTGCCGTCTGACCGTGACTTCGACCACCTAGAGTTCACAATACTTCTTGTTGGTTTTCATTAACAAGGCCCACATGTAACGAATTATCATTTATAAGTGTGTAAGATTGATATCAATTTTATATTTTGCACTTAAAGTACCTATGTAAGTAGTTCTTGTTATGATAGTCATTGCGGCCATGCTCTCAACTCCGTTCGTCCATAAGTATCTTATTGGCGGTGAGCTACATATTGTCTAGTTCCTTCCTCTCTGTTGGGAAGACATTTGTCATTTGAGTCTTATTTAGGATTCATTGAAGAAGCTACATTCAGGTACGATGCCACTGCAGGTCGCACTGCCCCACTGTTCGAGACTCCGCCGCACTATGTGGTAGTGAAGATGCTCCGGAGACTATGGCTGTTGCTACCTTTGTCTGAAGAATTGACTTCGAGTTGCCCCCTGGGGACGTGTTTTCAATGCTCTGGATTTTGTCATTCGTTTCCTTGAGACAGTTAATTCTCGGTTGTTCCCGTTCTCGTTTGACATTCACTGATATTATCTTATGGGTCACTGGTAATAGATTGTCTGCTGTTGTTAGTGTAAATGACTTCCTGTTCGTGTTGATTATTGTTGGCGGTGGCGGCTAGTTTTCTATGCACCCCATACTCGTCCTGTGAACAGTATTATGCACCCTATACTCGTCCTGTGAACAGTATTATGCACCCCATACTCGTCCTGTGAGCAGTATTATGCACCCCATACTCTTCCTGTGAGCAGTATTATGCACCCCATACTCGTCCTGTGAGCAGTATTATGCACCCCATACTCGTCCTGTGAGCAGTATTATGCACCCCATACTCGTCCTGTGAGCAGTATTATGCACCCCATACTCGTCCTGTGAGCAGTATTATGCACCCCATACTCGTCCTGTGAACAGTATTATGCACCCATACTCGTCCTGTGAACAGTATTATGCACCCCATACTCTTCCTGTGAACAGTATTATGCACCCCATACTCGTCCTGTGAACAGTATTATGCACCCCATACTCTTCCTGTGAACAGTATTATGCACCCCATACTCTTCCTGTGAGCAGTATTATGCACCCTATACTCTTCCTGTGAGCGGTAATTTATTGTGCACCCCATACTCGTCCTGTGAGCGGTAATTTATTGTGCACCCCATACTCGTCCTGTGAGCGGTAATTTATTGTGCACCCCATACTCGTCCTGTGAGCGGTAATTTATTGTGCACCTCATACTTATCCTGTAAGCGGTTATTTATTATGTACCCCATACTCATCATGTGAGCAGTATTGTGCACCCCATACTTATCATGTGAGCGGTAATTTATTGTGCACCCCATACTCATCCTGTGAGCAATGGCGCAAAAATGGATTTCAGTGGGCACAAAAGGCCTTAATCACCTTTACGTAAATGCTTATTAACAATTACATAACTTTCTTCACACCGTATAAATATAGTAACAGCTATAGTCACAATCTTTTCCAATTGCAACATTTGTGTAATTAATATATATTTTTATACGCTTTATCTTTTGTTAATATCTAAAATATTTTGTAAATACCTAAAATAATGTTATAAATTACAGGATCATTAAGGAACTGTTGTTTATTATTAAAGTTTCAGTACTCTACAGCTTATACATTAATCTCTAGTCATTTATCCAATAGAAGTGAAATATGGATTCAGTGCAAGTATTTCATATAATTTTTAATTTGAAATAAGGTTGTTTGCCATTTGATGCAGCGTGAGTTTAGATATATCTGTAAATGACTCAGTTTGTCAACAGTTTAAGATGTAATGCTTTAGTGTAATTACCTAAGTGTAGTTACAGGATGAGAGCTACGCTCGTGGTGTCCCGTCTACCCAGTGTATTTGTCATATAACGCTTTGAAACTACTATGTGTGTGTGTGTGTGTGTGTGTGTGTGTGTTTGTGTGTGTGTCTGTCCACACACTTTACACTTGACTTCATCTCTGGATCTCTATACAAGCTGAACTACCAGAGATACCTGCAGCCAAGTCGTATTTGAGCTGTAACAACGTCTCTCTGTCTTTGGATTTTGTGACTTGCTCCATACACATGCTTTGGTTGACACAGTTCATTCTGGTGATCAGTGGATCTATTACATGCTGTTGTGCAGCTCCACCCAGGGCGGGAAATGTCGCCGGTGATGGTCGACCATCTCGGCCGTTGTGGCGGTATGTACTAGAACCCCTGCAGAGCTGAGTGCTGTACTACTGTACCACAAAGCTGAGTGCTGTATCACTGTACTATCACACCACAAAACCGAGTGCTGTACCACACTTTGTGGTGTGAGTCACAGGCCACCACACCACAAAACCGAGTGCTGTACCACTGTACCCACCTCACCTCAAGGCCGAGTGCTGTACCACTGTACCACCACACTACAAAAACCTGAGAGAGTCTTTATGAACTCATTCAACCCCATGCCCGAGTGCAAGCTTGTTATGTAGTCAACGGTGATCAATTAGTCCAGGTTTAGGCCACGGAACATACAATTTTTTGTTTAAGTGTGGAGAGGAATAAGATCAAACACCACTTAATGTTTAATGTATTTACTTTGATGCTTGAGATGCTCTTATACCAGAAATATTCATGTAAGAATTGTAAATTACAAATGTCAAACTAATACCAAACTCACACGGCGGAAAGGTGACTATCTCAAGGAACTTCGACCCCTGGAGGACAGAGGGGGGGCTGTGACCCCTTGAGGACAGGCGGGCCTCCTCATATAATGTCTTCTGATCTATAATTCCTGTCGTGCAACATAGCCACAACAGCTTAGCAACGACCGCGTCAAATTAAAATTAGCTGACAAATGTGAATTTGTTTGCTATAAATTTTGTTTCTCAAGTTTACATTAAGTCTCAATCATGAATCACGAAGGTCACAATATTATGTGAACTTTCGTATTGTTATATTAAGCTTTCATTTAGTGTTGTTGTTGAAAAAGCTTAAACTTCTGATCACAAAATGCGATGCAGACACTCTTGAGGAAATTCCCTCCTTGCCACGCCCGCTCCAGGAGTCGAGGCTCCTACATGTACAGCCTTGATGTGTTGGGTTATATACCTGCAGACTTCATTAAAATATTTCAGAAAGTTATTTACAAAGTATACCAAATTGGTGCATCAACGGGTAACAAATTTATCGGTTCGTTATATATCATCACAAGTCTGTATTATGGATGTGGTAAGCGAAACATGCAGAGTTTCTAGCGTGGTCGTCTTGGCCTGGCGTCGCAAAGCTCACATTCAGTGATTCATGTGGCAACATTCTTAAACTGTTCATTGTAGAGTCAAAATATTTAACTTATTCTTCACATTCCCCTACTGAAGCATTGTACTCTCAGTAGATATACAAAAATAATAATGTAAGAAAATGAAAGCTTGTAGACAAGTCATTTACTCGGGCTAAACTTTTAGTGTCAGAAATTCACTGTTAATTTTTTCCTGAGTCAAGAAAGATGAAAAAAGTTTCCAAGATCTCCACACTTTGTTTCACGTAAGAATGTTACCAACAGAACCTTCGTTTTCTGTTAGAGAAATGGCTCAAATGGCGGTCACTAACACGTCTAGAATTTGAGCTCTCTTCAACCTTAGAATCTCCATGTTTCGTTTCCTCAATTAAAGCTGAAAAACCATTGGCAATATATAAACAATAACGCCTACTCACGTAATCATACAGAGATTTATTAAATAATGGAACTATGTACACCTTCAAATATTATGTATATGTATATATATGAATGTTTATCATTAACATGCGTAGTACGAATCGAGTTCGACGAGACGGCCCTGTACATGAAGAAAGGATGTCAAAAACTTAGCCAACTGTGGTGGGATTGGGATTGGAACACTTGACGAGCTGAGGCAGGTATAGAGCCAGGAATACCTGGCCAGTTGAGGTGACAATGGGACTAGGAATACCTGGCCAGTTGAGGTGACAATGGGACTAGGAATACCTGGCCACTTGAGGTGACAATGGGACTAGGAATACCTGACCACTTGAGGTGACAATGGGACTAGGAATACCTGACCACTTGAGGTGACAATGGGACTAGGAATACCTGGCCACTTGAGGTGACAATGGGACTAGGAATACCTGGCCACTTGAGGTGACAATGGGACTAGGAATACCTGGCCACTTGAGGTGACAATGGGACTAGGAATACCTGGCCACTTGAGGTGACAATGGGACTAGGAATACCTGGCCACTTGAGGTGACAATGGGACTAGGAATACCTGGCCACTTGAGGTGACAATGGGACTAGGAATACCTGGCCAGTTGAGGTGGCGAAGGTGACCAGTAACCGAGGGAGTCAGGATCAGTGGTCAATATAACCTCAAACTATCTCGGTAGTTCCCGCTGACTTTGGTGACAGAGGTTGTGGGAAGGCGTGATACCAGATCTTAAAAACGCACCTAATATAATGTAGTAAGTCAGTGAGTTGAATGAGGCGGCCATCTTAGTTGGGTTGGGTTTAAGATAGGTTAGGTTACGTGGCAGCTGGTCTTGTGGGTCTGTCCCTAGTGGCGTCTGACAGACAAGGAGGGAGAGGAATCCGGGTCCTCCAGCTCCTATTGTCTGCAAGATCTTCTTCTTTATACATCACTTGTTGTACCCTCAAGGGCGCAGTCATCCCGGCTTGTTATTGGATGTTTTCCTGATAGTCAATTCCAGTCCCTCTCTCCAGGACCTCCTTGTCCTCTAGATCCTCCTGGTCCTCGTAATCTCTACATCCTCCTGGTCCTCTTAATATCGGGAAAGGTGGGGTGTGGGGTGAGGGGGGGGGGAGGGATTGGGGGTTTGGGGGGGGGGGGGAAAGGGGCAACAGTGAAGGCAAGTTTTGGAATCCCTTCTTCCTTACCGTGCAGGGTTACCAACTCTCTCCGGTAGGGTCAGGAGCAGTAAGTGTTGCCGAGGGTTTGACTTCGACATTGCATTTTTTTATGTATATTTACGAATTGCTGCAAAAATATACAACTATACATGGGATGAAACCATTAAAAAAGTAAAAATATATGAACAATTTTGAGATCATGATAAGTTTCCAAAAAGAGTGATGCGTTGTCAGTAGTACCTGCATACTGTTGCTGCCTGCGGAGAGTTACTGGGGGAAGGGAGAAAAGGTTCTTATTCCTGTAGAACCCGTAACCCAAGATTGACTGGAGGCGAGCAGTGGGTCAGCCAACCTTTAAGCGAGAGAGCTACCGTGGAATACTATATAGACCTGGTCAGGAGGGGCGGCGGCGCCCCCTTCGGCAACCTTAGCAGTGTATTCGATGCATTGATTAACAATTTATTATGTATAGTTTAATGACGGCGACACCGGCCGAGATAATCGATTAATCATATCACAAGATTTTCGTAGACGGAAGAATTGGATTGGGAGTTTAGATGAATGGGCACTCGCTGGGTTGTCGGTTCGCAGGGGACGTAATATCTCATTATATTTCCAATACAGGTTCACTGTTCTAAATGTGAAATATGAGAACGCTTCTCACAGAAGAGCAATAACTTGCGAGAGTAATTCTCATCTGTTTGCTTGAGACTGAAGACTGCCAAAGGCCTCTCAAATCGGCTAACAGAAGCGGGATCTCTGATGATGAGTGCCGTTGCTAGATGCGACATGATTACCGCTGCTACAGCCTCAAGTCAGCGCTTCTCTACTGAGCGAGTTGGATGACGAAGTTGGTAGGTGGGTTGACGCCGGTGGCCGACTATCGACCCGCGGGCGCTCACCAGTTGGTCGGTACGGCAATGTTCGCGCGATGCTCCTGGCAAATGTGCGTGTCTCCACGCAACACGCGAATACATCGACAGTTATTGTCAAAAGAATGGTGGAGAGAGAGACGAAGAATATACAAGACACTTACCACCGAGAGGGAGAGTCTAGGATAAATTTAACACCAGGTTAGAATTACATGTCATGGGTTAGAATTACATGTCAGGGGGTTAGAATTACATGTCATGGGTTAGAATTACATGTCAGGGGGTTAGAATTACATGTCATGGGTTAGAATTACATGTCAGGGGGTTAGAATTACATGTCAGGGGTTAGAATTACATGTCAGAGGTTAGAATTACATGTCAGGGGGTTAGAATTTACATGTCAGGGGTTAGAATTTACATGTCAGGGGGTTAGAATTTACATATCAGGGGGGTTAGAATTTACATGTCAGGGGGTTAGAATTACATGTTAGGGGTTAAAATTATATGTCATGGGTTAGAATTACATGTCAGGGGTTAGAATTACATGTCAGGGGTTAGAATTTACATGTCAGGGGGTTAGAATTACATGTCATGGGTTAGAATTACATGTCAGGGGTTAAAATTACATGTCAGGGGTTAGAATTACATGTCAGGGGTTAGAATTACATGTCAGGGGTTAGAATTACACGTCATGGGTTAGAATTACACGTCAAGGGTTAGAATTACGTCAGAGGTGTGAATTATCGAAGATTGAATTGCGACTCTCGCGTTGGAGAAAGAATTAATGTAAATGGATGCTATGAATAAAACATTGAGTGAGGTTGAGTGTGTGTTCTCTGCTCTCGCCTGCACTTAATGCTCCTTCCTGCACTCACCTGTACTGGTTTACGGTTCTCTCTCTCTCTCTCTCCCTCTCTCTCTCTCTCTCTCTCTCTCTCTCTCTCTCTCTCTCTCTCTCTCTCTCTCTCTCTCTCTCTCTCTCTCTCTCTCTCTCTCTCTCTCTCTCTCTCTCTCTCTCTCTCTCGCTCTTCTCTCCCTCTCTCTCCGTCTCCCCCTCTCTCTCTCTCTTTCTCTCTCTCTCTCTTTCTCTCTCTTTCTTTTTCTCTCTCTCTTTCTCTCTCTCTCCCTCCCTTTTCTCTCCCTCTCTCTCCGCCTCCCCCCCCTCTCTCTCTCTCTCTCTCTCTCTCTCTCTCTCTCTCTCTCTCTCTCTCTCTCTCTCTCTCTCTCTCTCTCTCTCTCTCTCTCTCTCTCTCTCTCTTTCTCTCCCCTCTCTATCCCCTCAGACCCTGTTGAGCTTGACTCTAGTCTGATTTTGTAGAGAGATATCAAAGTTGTTGTTGTTGTTTAAGTTTCGCTACCTGGAACAAAAAGTTCCAAGTAAAACGGGCTATGGTGAGCCCGTAGTTACACATCAAAGGTGTAGCATAAGTGGGAGGTCGTTTCACCTCGCGCAGGCGGCCGTCAACGAAATACCACTATGGTCGTTTCTTTACTTACTCGGTGAGACGAAATCGGAGTTTCCCCACGTGGGAGTACCTCCTGTTTCTATCCCTAAGCGGCGGAAGGGCGATGACCGACGAGCGAGTGTCCCAGTTTTGGAGCTGGCCTTCTCCCCTGGCGTATGTGGCTCACGCCTCTGAGTCTTCAGGTTGGTTCGTTTTCCGGCTGTGGCCTCCGCCGGCTCCAAGCCCGGGCGTTCACGCCATTATTATATATATATTTTCTCTCTCTCTCCCCACCCTCTCTCTCTAGCTGAGGAAGAGGTCCCGGCACTCACCGTGACCGAGGAGTCCCAGGGGGTAAGTTAAAGAGCTTCACTGTGTCGCAGGACACACCCAGATCATGGCTGGGTGTCTTGAGAGAGTCCTGCAGCGCTCTGAGACGGCCCGGGAGCCCCGCTCCTGCAAGGTCTCCTACGTTAAGAGGTGATAGAGACAGCAAAAGGCTTGGATCGTTGTCACAAGGGATCGAATTGTATAGGCCTTACCGGCCATTTCTGAATATTGTTGTTGTTGTTGTTATATTCTTGTTGTTCTTAATCCTCATCTTAGACTATGTTCTTGTTTTTTTGTTCCTGTTCTAAATTATATTCTTTGTCTTCATGTTCATAATCGTCTTTCTGTTCATCTTTTTTTTCTCTCATCTTCGTGTTCTGCCTTCACCTTCCTCCTCTTCCTCCTCCTCCCCCTCCTCCTCCTCCCCCTCCTCCTCCTCCTCCTCCTCCTCCTCCTCCTCCTCCTCCTCCTTGCCTTTTCTTCCGGGTTGCCATATTTATGATGATTGGGAAGTGAGGAGGACGAGGCTTTACTGTCGTTCCAACACCCCCATCGTAGTGTGGATCGCTCTCCAGGCCTCGCTCAGGGAGACATTATTTACCTGAATTTACGCGAGGGCCACAATCTCTCCAGTGGCCTCGACGAGGACAGGAAGCCGCCGGCTTGTCAAAGGTCTCCCCATTTGTCCTGGTGATTTATATCGACCTTTGGTTTGCTAGTTATCTGTTGAGCCACGCACTGTTAGTCATCTATTTAGGAGCATATTTTAGAGTTGCGTTGATTTTCTTGTTTGTTTACAAATTCATTACACTACAAATAAGAACTGAAAACAATTGAGTTTGTCATAAAATCCTCGCATGGGATCCTGCTCGGAGAGTTTCGTTTTCTTTAAGCCTGAATCGCGTTCAAGTGCTATCAGCAGAGACTATATTAAACAAAAACTGCGGCCATTTGTATATATAACTGATATCAAAACATTATTTGTGGTTATTTATAGCGATAGCTGGACTTATTTATGATTCTTGAGACAGAAAGACACATTTATGTGAATGTAATATTATGCAATTGTATACGGATTGACAACGACAGGTTGCTTGAACGCGCGCTTGTGTAACCGGAAAATATTATGCATAAGAATGCTAACGATTAAAGATACGCGAACGAGTTATCTCCTTGATGTTGAGTAGTTTTTGAACGGCTGAAGCCGAGTTATTGATGATTTCAGCTATTATGCCTTATAAGTGTGAAAGAAATGGGTGCAAATGCAGGCGTGTAGGGAGTGGATGAAAACATATATATATATATATATATATATATATATATATATATATATATATATATATATATATATATATATATATATATATATATATATATATATATATATATATATATATGATGGGGGTCACATAATATGTGACCCCATCTGACCCCCCTCTATCCCTGCCCCCTCTGACCCCCCTCTCCTTCCCTACATCCCGGTGAGCTTACTGGGTCCTACAGGAGTAAGGCGCCAGAGTAGGATTTTGGCTTTGAGTACTATTTACATGTGAAGGATTCAGTCTGGTTGATGGAGAGCTTCGTGTTTGATTGTGGTTACTGTGTTCTTTCCGTTTGGTCCTGATCACGTGACTCCTGGTTTGTATTATAAAGTGTTAAGAGTTTATGATACATGTTGTATTATACACACTATTGTATATTATATATATATGTATATAAATCATGTTAAAAAACAAAAACAACAGAGAATTTAACACTGGAAAATTGTAAAATGTCCACAGAAGGTAAACACGAGGCGACTACAAATTGGTGACGTCGCTCGACACGATCGGCGTCCGGCGTGGTCGTGTCTCTCAGACGACGTCACACGTCTTATAAATGACGTCACATGTCTCTCAGACGACGTCACACACTATAACAAAACTGCACTACATTCGTTTCATTTTGACTCGAGTTATAAGTGAGATGAGGAAGGGGAGGGCTGAGGGCTCTATCAGACGACGGTAGTCCTGTCGACGTCGGTAACTGTAGCCCCTGGTTGTGTCGACGATGGTAACTATAGCCCCTGGTTGTGTCGCCGACGGTAACTATAGCCCCTGGTTGTGTCGACGACGGTAACTATAGCTCCTGATTGTGTCGACGTCGGTAACTATAGCCCCTGGTTGTGTCGACGTCGGTAACTATAGCCCCTGGTTGTGTCGACGTCGGTAACTATAGCCCCTGGTTGTGTCGACGTCGGTAACTGTAGCGCCTGGTTGTGTCGACGTCGGTAACTGTAGCGCCTGGTTGTGTCGACGACGGTAACTATAGCCCTTGGTTGTGTCGACGTTGGTAACTATAGCCCTTGGTTGTGTCGACGTCGGTAACTATAGCCCCTGGTTGTGTCAACGTCGGTAACTAACCCCTTGTTGAGTCGACGTCGGTATCTATATCCCCTTGCTGTGTCGGCTACGGGAGAACCGACTGGGCCAGGATCTCACACAAGTCAGACTGGACCCATGACACCACCACAGCCCGGCCCATAGCCTCCAAGTCCACTCCACAGTCTCCTAGTCCATATCACAGCCTACCTCACAGTTCACTCAGCAATCTAGCAATCTGTCGCAAAGTCTACCAGTCCACCCCAGAGGCAAGCAATGCACACAGCAATTAGTTGACCCGATATAAATCAGCATCTTCCAGAGTCCACTACGGCTTAGTCTAGCAGTCCAACTTCCGGGCTCCGTGGAGACCCTCAAGAGCTTGTGAGGCATGTGGGATGCCTCCTTGTGCGTCTTGAGTCTGACTTGAGTGCGTCCTCCCTGCAACTATTCGTTTTCTAACTAACTGGAAACTATGAGGGACTAAACCTTTACAGTGTCAAAAAAAAAGTTTTACATGTGCTTGGAGTCGTTGCATTTTGGAGAACAGCACAGAATTAGTCTAGGTCCTCACGCCTCGTCCGGGAGGTCATTAACGGGGACCTAGAACGTGAAGGGGAAAGTCTAAGGAGGTGCGGGGAAACACTTCTGTACACTATAAGACGGGCAAAAATGTGCAAGAGAGAGAGGAAACTGGTCCCTGTGATACAGAACGCTTGGCTGGGCAGGAGTGCGGCGGGTGTGGCCACAGGGGAGACGAGCAGGTACGAACAACACCGCCCAGTTGAGGTCACGTTACTGCTCGTTATACAAGGGTATTGCCATGGAAATTGTGCTGAGATTATTATGATAACGTTAAGTCGACGAATGAGACTGAATTATGACCTATATGTGTGACACAGAGCGTTTCGACCTCGGGTTGTTTTGACGGCTCAAGAGCCCGTTGTTCAGGTGGTGGGCGAGGCCGGTGGCATTATGTGTGTCACTGTGAGTGGCTCTCAGGCACCCCCGCCATACAGTCAGAGATCACAGTCAGCGTTACACTTCACACTCACGCCACAACATCCTCCTCCTCACATGAGAAGACATTTCTCCTTTATTTTGCGGGTGCCTTTTTGCGACTTATTTTTCTTCCCGTCTAGTTGGAGCGACATATTTCTGTTCTTCTCCATATTGAGAAGCTCCTGGAACAGTTCCTTCACGTTGTGATTGGTTTTAGCCGACGTCTCCATGAAGTTGCACTTCCACGCCTTGGCTTGGGACTCGCCGAAGGCACTCTGGACCTCTCTGGCGTCACTCTCGTCACACTTGTTCCCTACCAGCATGATGGGGAACTCCACTTCGTTACCCTTGATCTCCCGGATCACCTCCCAGATGGGGCGGAGCTCCTCCAGGCTCTGACGACTGCTGACGGAGTACACGAGGATGAAGGCGTGTCCTTTGCTGATGGAGAGGCGCTGCATGGCTGGGAACTGGTGGGAACCCGTCGTGTCTGTGATCTGCAGTGTGCAGATGTTCTTGTTGCAGCTGATCACCTGCAACATGAAGCGCAGATTAGTATGCTACACAACCACAGGCTTTTGTTACCTGCACTACACGACCACAGGTTACTGTTATCTATACTACACGACCACAGGTTACTGCTATCTACACTACACGACCACAGGCAACTGCTATCTACACTACACGACCACAGGCAACTGCTATCTACAATACACGACCACAGACAACTGCTATCTACACTACCCGACCACAGGCAACTGCTATCTACACTACACGACCACAGGCAACTGCTATCTACACTACACGACCACAGGCAACTGCTATCCTCACTACACGACCACAGGACACTGCTATCTTCACTATACGACCACAGGCAACTGCTATCTACACTACACGACCACAGGCAACTGTTATCTACATTACACGACAAACAGGACACTGCTATCAACACTACACGACCACAGGCAACTGGTATCTTGCTAGCCTCTGGGGTGGACTGGTAGACTTTGCGACAGATTGCTAGATTGCTGTGGTGGGTATGTGGGTCTGCGGGCCGCTCCAAGCAACAGCCTGGTGGACCAAACTCTCACAAGTCAAGTCTAGCCTCGGGTCGGGCTTGGGGAATAGAAGAACTCCCAGAACCCCATCAACCAGGTATCAAGGTATCTACACTACACGACCACAGGCAACTGCTATCTTCACTACACGACCACAGGCAACTGCTATCTTCACTACACGACCACAGGCAACTGCTATCTACACTACACGACCACAGGCAACTGCTATCTACACTACACGACCACAGACAACTGCTATCTACCCGACCACAGGCAACTGCTATGTACACTACACAACCACAGACAACTGCTATCTTCACTATACGACCACAGGCAACTGCTATCTACACTACACGACCACAGGCAACTGCTATCTACACTACACGACCACAGGCAACTGCTATCTACACTACACGACCACAGGCAACTGCTATCTACACTACACGACCACAGACAACTGCTATCTACCCGACCACAGGCAACTGCTATGTACACTACACAACCACAGACAACTGCTATCTTCACTATACGACCACAGGCAACTGCTATCTACACTACACGACCACAGGCAACTGCTATCTACACAACACGACTACATAAAAGTCGTGATGAACCTTTACTACCTGACAGTGTACATTTCCTCTTAGTAAAACACAGTGATGGAAACACATTAATTAAAGTAATATGATATAACAGTTATTAAACACAGTGATAAAACATTAATTAAACCACTTATAAAACATTAATTAAACCACTGTTATAAAACACACTTTTATACAACAGGTAAAATCACCAACACCACGATAAAAACACATTTACAGAGCCTCAGAAGTTAAAAACACCGTGATAAAACACTCATAGAACTCAATGAGATAAAAACAGCCCTGTTAATACCCCAACCAAGGCCCCCTGGTGGACGACAAGTACACTATAATCAGTGTAGTTAGTGGTGCGTTGTTTACCTGTGGTCCAGCTGGCGGGATTGTGTAGTGAACACGTGGCCGCTATTGTTTGTAAACATTGTAAGATATTCCATCTTCCTCCCAGTACTTCCTCCTGATTCCCTCGTCCCCTACTGACTCCCTCGTCCCTTACTGACCCCTGACTCCCTCGTCCCTTACTGACCCCTGACTCCCTCGTCCATTACTGACCCCTGACATGCTCCGTCGTAGAGCTTATTAGCTTCGGTAGAAAGCTTGGTTTGGTCTTTTGTTTGCGGCTTATGAAGGGAGAAGTGTAGGGTGAGTAGTTCATAACGAAGTGCCTACTAAATACCTCCTTAGAGAGTACCCTTTGGCGCTCCAGAGACTCTGGCACTCTAGAGACTCAGGCGCTCCAGAGACTCAGGCGCTCCAGAGACTCTGGCGCTCCAGAGACTCTGGCGCCGAGCGCTGCCTAATAAAATCGCCCCTCCGGGCAAAATTAAATAAAAAATGAGTGCTCCTTCCCTGCTTCTCAGTAGGTGTGTAGGCCAGTGTGGTGGAATAATGGCGGTGTTGGCCTGACAGTCTGGTGTCAAGGGAATTCATTTCGCGGACATGATGACTGGTGTTTGATATATTGAGTTGTGTGTGCATATTGAAGTTGTTAGTAGTGCAGGAACGCTTGAGAATGGTCATTGTAGTTTGTGTCAGTTGTCGAGCCCAGCGGACGTCATGCCGGGAATTAGAGGAGGAGGAGAAGGAGGAGCGGAAGAAGCAATTGTGGATCTGCTGATTATAAGGATCATTTGTGCATGTGCTGAATTACTGCCTTTAGCGCTCAGTGCCTCTAATGCACAGTTGATGCCCTACCACAGTCTTGAGCACTCAGCACCTCTCTCTTGTTATGTTGATGCTCTACCACAGTCTTCAGCACTCAGTACCTCTCTCTTGTTGGGTTGATGCTCTACCACAGTCTTGAGCACTCGGTACCTCTCTCTTGTTGGGTTGATGCTCTACCACAGTCTTGAGCACTCGGTACCTCTCTCTTGTTGGGTTGATGCTCTACCACAGTCTTGAGCACTCAGCACCTCTCTTGTTACTAATGTATTATGCTACAACATATCCATACAACCCAACAACAGTAGTCTATATGTCTTCTGCTTTCAATCCACAGACCCGGGTTCAATCCCCTGTCGGGATAGACAAGGGTTGGGCACGTATCTTCCACCTGATGCACCTGTTCACCTAGCCGTACAAAAGCTTCCCTGGAGGTAGAGGAGGTCTGTGACTTGGTCCGCAGTTCTCCTATGGAGTCCTCGACAACTTTAAGTGCAGGCTTCCTGTCCCAGACAACGAGAATCGCTATCACTACCTATCGTAATGATCGATAGGCACCTATTACCTATCGTACCTATATATTGAGAACCTAGGGTGGGTACCTAGCTAAGTACCCACTAGGTACTTAGCTAGGTAAAACCCGCCTCCTTAATGTTTTCCAACTGTGACATGTGAGTGAAGTGTGGCGTAAAATGACCCGATGTATTGGAATGATCCAACGTATTGATCCATAAGTTTAGGTGCTCTTATTCCCGTCAGCGCTGAAATCAAATCTGGTAACATTACTCTGAGTTTAGGAGCTTATTTGTATTCTTGTTTCAACTAGAGAAAACTATAATCCTTATAAGTACTGAAGACATAACCTTCCAAAGAAGATACTTCAATATCAATTATTTTCGGTTGTGTGAGCTATTCTACTGCAGTAGAACTCCCAATAATTATATTGTCTCACACCACATACCAGTTATTATGGAGTTATAAGCGCCCACCTTCAAATTAGAAGTTACCAGGCATTATTCACTATCCACAATTTCGTATACAAGGAAACATTGACTAAGAGCAGCCTGAAAACAACCACAACATTCCATCCGTACAGCAGACTAAAGAAAATGAAAAAAGAAAATGAAAGGAAAAAGGGAAGCCTGCAAAAGTTGCTCTCAGATTACAGTTCGAAACCACATGCGAAAGACCAAAGGTCTCGCAATATTCCACCCAATGCACCATAAAGGGCACCTCGCTAAACAGACCAACTAATACAGAAGGGACAAGCAAGAAACGACTGGCGGAGAGTCAGAGGACTTGAAAGACCCAACAGGAACACGTCCCACACACACAGTCTAGGACTTGGAGAGATCATCCCTGAAACATCGAAAGCCCACATAACCGAAACCGAACCTCAGAAGACACCGTATGGACAAACAAGAACGTGTCAACATTGAAAAGTTGAATATTCAACAACCATGTCTCCATAATTTGCCAATGAACGACAGACATTTGGGGCTTAAATATATAATATATACACACAATATATATATTTCACCATGCAAGAGAAACGTTATAAAAAAACACCCCAAAAAGACCTCTGAGCATTTTTTATATTTGATACACAAATCCTACTCCAGCAAGACAAATATAAGCAGTCCTCACACCCATCATAGGTAGAGCAACCCTGGCTACTGGTTGAATGACAGAGTTGTTCAAGGTTGCTACTGGTTGAATGACAGAGTTGCTCAAGGTAGCATAATGCATACCTTCAGAAAATCATTCATTTTTCCCCCTACCTCAACTACATGGAGAACAACAATTGCCTCCTCAACTACTACATAATAAACAACATCCTTCTCAACTAGTACACAGAGAACAACATCGACCTCTTCAACTAGTACACAGAGAACAACACCGACCTCCTCAACTAGTACACAGAGAACAACACCGACCTCCTCAACTAGTACACAGAGAACAACACCGACCTCCTCAACTAGTACACAGAGAACAACACCGACCTCCTCAACTACAACAAAGAAAACAACAACGACCTCATCAACTACAACAGAAAACAACAACGACCTCATCAACAACACATGCTATCAACTTTATTTACTACACTGGACAGCATCAGCGAAGCACCTGACCAAGGGGAAAGAGGGGGAGAGAAAGAGGGAGGAAGGGGGACACTCCAGGCAGAAGGGGAGCCCTCAGGGACCCACCTGACGGTACGTGTCTTCGATGGTAGGGATGTAGGACTCCCTGAAGGTGCCCTTGACGAAGCGCAGGACGAGGGAGGACTTGCCCACACCGCCAGCCCCGAACACCACCACCCGGTAGTCGTTGCTCTGCTCTGGCATCTTGTTCCTCCTGTCAGGGAGAGAAGGAGAGAAGACGGTCACAAGGAGTCCGGGAAGGAGGGGAAGAGGGAAGGAGGTTGAGAGAGAGAGAGAGAGAGTCCAGGAAGGAGGAATTAATATGGTGGTGGGAGAGGAAATAAGTAGAGTGAGGGAGAGTGATAGAACATAAAGGACAATGGATCTTTTGTGAATGAAGACGTATATACTTACCTAGCTGTACTAGCAGGGACTGAGATTCAGCTCCTGGGTCCCGCCTTGTACGCGGTTTCAACTGACTGTTGCAGTTGTTCTCCTTTTATATCTCATTCCTTCCCCCCGTCCCATCCCAAGTCCTTATCCTGACCCCTTCTAAGTGCTATATAGTCGTAATGGCTTGGCGCTTTCTCCTGAAAAATCCCTTCCCTTCCCTTCCTTTTATATCTATGAGAACAGTTTGCCTTAACCACTGCACTTACGAGTTCATTCCACTTGTGTCTTATCATTACGATGAAGATGGTCCCTCACATATCTCTTTGTCTTTATTTGAATGGGGGGGGGGACCAGCTGCATGGGTAACAGCTTCTCCCCCTGTATCAACCTACCCTGGGGTGGCGCCCTGGAGACACCACTCCAGACCGACAAACAGCGCGCAACTCCATAGTCTACTGAGACTGATAGATGCCTACTACTACTACTACTACTACTACTACTACTACTACTACTACTACTACTACTTCTATTTGTTAACCCAATTCCATTCTTTTAACCTTCCGCGAAAGTTGAGCCGTTTTTGTCGATACCCAAAGGAATCCTGCACGTAGTGATCATGTCTCCTCTGTTTCTTTTCATGTGGTGAAGGATTATCTGCCTTCTGTCTTCCCTCGTAGTTCCTGTCTCTCTGTTCTGTGGTCTGTCTGTAGGCGAACATCTGCAATTGTTCCATCTCTTTTGGTTTATGATAAACGGTGGAGCTTGGATCTTCCAGTGTGTCAAGAGTTGGTCTGACGTACGTGCTGAATGGTTTCCTTGGTTAGAATACAGGATGCTAACTAAATGGTTGTTATCAGTCTATACTACCATTATGTTTTCCATTTTGATTGCCTTAAAAGGTGGATGGATGTGTACTCATCTATTGTACTCACCTAGTTGTGCTTGCGAGGGTTGAGCTCTGGCTCTTTGGTCCCGCCTCTCAATCGTTAATCAACTGGTGTATAGATTCCTGAGCCTACTGGGCTCTATGATATCCATTTTTGAAACTGTGTATGGAGTCAGCCTCCACCACATCACTGCCTAATGCATTCCATTTGTTAACTACTCTGACACTGAAAAAAATTCTTTGTAATGTCTCTGTGGCTCATTTAGGAACTAAGTTTCCACCTGTGTCCCCTTGTTCGTGTTCCACCCGTGCTAGAGAGTTTATCTTTGTTCACACCGTCATCGTTTACACATATCAGAAACAGAATAAACATGATGGGTCCAATTACAGAGCCCTGTGGGACTCCGCTGATGACATCTCGCCACCCTGATGTCTCCCCCCCCCTCACAGTTACTCGCTGTTTCCTGTAGCTTAGATACTACCTTATCCACTGGAGCAGGTGTGCGTGTGTGTGCATTTGCGCGCGCGCGTGTGTGTGTGTGTGTGTGTGTGTGTGTGTGTGTGTGTGTGTGTGTGTGTGTGTGTGTGTGTGTGTGTTTCAGACTCACATCTTACAAACTATGTCCTACCTCTTATTTTATCCCACACAATTATCAAACGAGCCCGGCCGGCAGTGTTTACGACGATACAACCACATCATTCAACAATCACTGTCACACCCCCTTCAACAATCACTGTCAAAACCCTTCAACAATCGCTGTCACAACCCTTCAACAAACACTGTCACACTCCATACAACAATCACTGTCACACCCCTACAATAATCAGTGTCACTCCCCCTACAACAATCACTGTCACGTCCCTACAACAATCACTGTCACACCCCTACAACAATCACTGTCACACTCCTACAACAATCACTGTCACGCCCCTACAACAATCACTGTCACACCCCTACAACAATCTCTATCACACCCCCTACAACAATCACTGTCACACCCCTACAACAATCACTATCACACCCCTACAACAATCACTGTCACACCCCTACAACAATCACTGTCACACCCCTACAACAATCACTATCACACCCCTACAACAATCACTGTCACACCCCTACAACAATCACTGTCACACCCCTACAACAATCACTATCACACCCCTACAACAATCACTGTCACACCCCTACAACAATCACTGCCACACCCCTACAACAATCACTGTCACACCCCTACAACAATCACTGTCACACCCCTACAACAATCACTGTCACACCCCTACAACAATCACTACCACACCACAACCACTACCAAAACACCCCCCACCCCCACCCCCACACCCAAATCCTCCAATGTTGCTAGGATGCAACACGACAGGCAGTCGGTAAACAGCATTATATGCTAGTCACTGCTCAAACGACATAAGGTTTTCCCATGTGACGCAAACGACCCAAGGTTTTCCCATGTGACGTAAACGGTGCGTCACGCGACTCTCATCCACCTGGCTGGTTAATGAGGAGCGCCGGCGTCATTACACCAGTCAAGTGATTACATTGTTTACCTTGTCAGCCATGTTGGACAAGCCTGGAGTTAATCGAGGCGGTACTGGGAGATGGAGCGCTCTGGGGTCGTGCTGTCTAAGAGTCTCTCTCTGCACTCGAGTGAGTTTGGGTGCATAGGAGCGGCCTCGTGTGGGCCTGGGGGCGGCGGGGTCGTCTTCCTGTAGTTGCCGTGATTCTTAGGTTCTTGTAACCAGGTTCTATCTCATATTAGAAGGATCCGGGTCTCTGTGACATTGTGGAGTGACATCGGCCAGCGTCCCATACGCTGCCGATGTCACCCTGCCTATGTGTGCCTCCGGTGTTTGTGTTGGAGTTGTATCCACTCCCAAATCTCCTTTTCTCTTCGATTCTTGCTGTAGTCTTTCATTTATGATGTCGACAACAAGTCTTCTCCCTTGTCCATCTTCATTACCGTGCACTTATTAGGAGTGAACTCCAACAACCATTTGTTTGCCTACTCCTCAAGTTTGTCAAGGTTATGCTTTAACATTCTGCAGTCCTCCTCTGTTTTTATAATCCTCATTATCTTTGTATCGTCCACAAGCATCGCGATGTAGGAGCTCACTCCCTCGGGTATATCATTAACATAAACTCGAAAAACCGTAATGGTCCCAAGACTGATACTAGGAGAACCCCACTTGTTATATTTCACTTGTGGAAGTCTTCGTCTCTTTCTTGAAGACCTGGGACTCTTTTCTTAGAGTATTTCCTGACCGTTTTAAGTGTCTTCACAATTACCTGAGCTTGGTTCTCCTTGTACACCAGTCTTGGATGAGGAACAGTATCAAGTGCATTTTTCTTTTGTCTTGGAAAACGCAATCTTCCCAGCCTTCGTTTTCCTGTTGTATTTTGGTAATCTTGTCATAGAACTCCACCACCTCCAGGGGTGGTGTTGGGCTCCCTCCAGGGGTGGTGTTGGGCTCCCTCCAGGGGTGGTGTTGGGCTCCCTCCAGGGGTGGTGTTGGGCTCCCTCCAGGGGTGGTGTTGGGCTCCCTCCAGGGGTGGTGTTGGGCTCCCTCCAGGGGTAGTGTTTGGCTCCCTCCAGGGGTGGTGTTGGGCTCCCTCCAGGGGGTAGTGTTGGGCTCCCTCCAGGGGTGGTGTTGGGCTCCCTCCAGGGGTAGTGTTGGGCTCCCTCCAGGGGTGGTGTTGGGCTCCCTCCAGGAGTGGTGTTGGGCTCCCTCCAGGGATGGTGTTGGGCTCCCTCCAGGGGTAGTGTTGGGCTCCCTCCAGGGGTAGTGTTGGGCTCCCTCCAGGGGGTAGTGTTGGGCTCCCTCCAGGGGTGGTGTTGGGCTCCCTCCAGAGGGTGGTGTTGGGCTCCCTCCAGGGGTAGTGTGGGCTCCCTCCAGGGGTAGTGTTGGGCATCCTCCAGGGGTGGTGTGGGCTTCCTCCAGGGGTGGTGTTGGGCTCCCTCCAGGGGTAGTGTTGGGCTCCCTCCAGGGGGGTAGTGTTGGGCTCCCTCCAGGGGTGGTGTTGGGCTCCCTCCAGGGGTGGTGTTTGGCTCCCTCCAGGGGGTAGTGTTGGGCTCCCTCCAGGGGTGGTGTTGGGCTCCTCCAGGGGTGGTGTTGGGCTCCCTCCAGAGGGTAGTGTTGGGCTCCCTCCAGGGGTGGTGTTTGGCTCCCTCCAGGGGTGGTGTTGGGCTCCTTTGACGCGTTCTTGCAGGGTTTCTTTTAGCAGGACCTCACTGTTCAGCTGCACCTCACTGTTCAGCTGCACCTTACAGTTCAGTTGAACATTAAGGAACCGCTGAACTTTACGGACTAATGCGGTTCTAAGTTCCATTTTAGGGAGGGAGGGTTTATGAGGGAGGGAGGGCTGGCTTATGAGGGAGGGCTGGCTTATGAGGGAGGGAGGGCTGGCTTATGAGGGAGGGAGGGCTGGCTTATGAGGGAGGGAGGGTTGGCTTATGAGGGAGGGAGGGCGGGCTTATGAGGGAGGGAGGGCTTATGAGGAGGGAGGGCTGGCTTATGAGGGAGGGAGGGCTGGCTTATGAGGGAGGGAGGGCTGGCTTATTAGGGAGGGAGGGCTTATGAGGGAGGGAGGGCGGGCTTATGAGGGAGGGAGGGTGGGCTTATGAGGGAGGGAGGGCGGGCTTATGAGGGAGGTAGGGATTATGAGGAGGGAGGGCTGGCTTATGAGAGAGGGAGGGCTGGCTTATGAGGGAGGGAGGGCTGGCTTAGGGAGGGAGGGCGGGCTTATGAGGGAGGGAGGGCGGGCTTATGAGGGAGGGAGGGCGGGCTTATGAGGGAGGGAGGGCTTATGAGGAGGGAGGGCTGGCTTATGAGGGAGGGAGGGCTTATGAGGGAGGGCTGGCTTATGAGGGAGGGAGGACTGGCTTATGAGGGAGGGAGGGCTGGCTTATGAGGGAGGGAGGGCTTATGAGGGAGGGAGGGCTGGCTTATGAGGGAGGGAGGGCTGGCTTATGAGGGAGGGAGGGCTGGCTTATGAGGGCGGGAGGGCTGGTTTATGAGGGAGGGAGGGCTGGCTTATGAGGGAGGGAGGGCTGGCTTATGAGGGAGGGAGGGCTGGCTTATGAGGGAGGGAGGGCGCGCTTATGAGGGCGGGAGGGCTGGCTTATGAGGGAGGGAGGGCGGTCCAGCACGGGCACGCTTGTAGATTTTAAAGATGATATGAAGCCAGTATAAAAGGTCAGTAGACTTTGGTTCCTCCAGCTGTACTGCTCTCATTTTGAAGAGCAGGGAAAGTGAGGAAGAGTGAGGGAGCGTCAGGGGGAGTGAGGTAGCGTCAGGGGGAGAGTATGAGGGAGAGTAGGGGGGGAGGAGAGGATGAGAGAGTGAGGTGGGATGAGGAACATGGGGGAATGAGTGTCAGGAGAGCGAGGTAAGGTGAGGGAGAGTGAGGCAGAGCATGGAGCAGTAAAGGGGAGCGATGTGGAGGAGGGAGAGTAAGACAGGGTGAGGGAGAGTGAGTCAGGGTGAGGACGAGTGAGACAGAGTGAGTCAGGGTGAGGAAGAGTGAGACAGGGTGAGGGAGAGTGAGACAGGGTGAGGAAGAGTGAGACAGGGTGAGGGAGAGTGAGACAGGGTGAGGGAGAGTGAAAGCGAGACAGGTTGAGTGAGAGTGAGACAGGGTGAGGGAGAGTGAGACAGGGATGACGGCACCCTCCTGGGTGCCGTCAAGTGGCCACAAGCAATCGTGGAGGACCTGGTGGCAAAAATCACTGATCTAAGGAGAATGCTGGACAGGATTGACAAGATTGATGTCCATGATGCTCTCTTCCTCCTCACAAGATGCCTATCTCCCCCTAAGCTGACTTACTTTCTGAGGTGTTCTCCATCCTACAACAGCCCTAAATTAAATGAGAATGACACCCTCCAGAGCTCCCTGCTGTTGAAAGTCCTGAACCTTCCGTTGGACAACTCAAAATAGAAGCAAGCAACCCTCCCTGTAAGACTCGGCCGCCTCGGTGTCCACACAGTCTCCCAGATTGGTCTACCAGCTTTTCTTTGCTCTCATGCATCGCACGACCTCGTAGGAGATATCCTACCAGAACCCCCTGAGTGATTCAGCAGGAATACACGATCTTGCTTTCACCGAATGTTCAAATCAGTGGGATGCTCTTGCAGCCCCAGCATTCATCATAGATAAAAAAAAAAACACAATCAAGCTGGGACCACCCACTAGTGAAAAACTTAGCAGGTGCCATGCTCAGCGCCGCAACATCAGATAAGGAGAAAGCCCGCCTCAGAGCAGTGCTTGCCCCCCATGCAGGAGACTTCCTTCTGGCAGTACCCATGTCGGCAAGAGGCATGAGCCTAGATCCAGAATCCCTTCTTGTAGCAGTGGCCCTCCGCCTTGGTGCCCCAATTCACACTGAATACAAGTGTATTTGCAACAGGGTGGAAGCAGACCAATATGGACTGCATGGGTTGCACAGTGGAAAACTAGTGTGGCGATCCAGAGGGGAAACGCTTGCTACATCCTCGGTTCCTGTCCGGAAGCGGAGGAGCTTCGAGAGATCCATAACTTTTGAGAACTCATTGTCCACCCAATGTACATCTTGTAACCTTTAAATCACAAAAAAATCACAAAAGGAAGGGGGTGGTAGGAGAAAAGCACACAGAAACTGTATTGAAGGGAACCTAAACATTTCTTCTATTGCGTTATGTGTGCTTTCCTCCGAGGCTAAGGGTCCCCCTTCTTCAAACCAGAGGTACTCTCTTAATTATTATTATTATTATTATTATTATTATTATTATTCGATCACCATTATTGGTCTTATTTGTCAAGCAAGGTTAATAGGTCGATCACCAGTGACGGGTCTCCAGGGGAGGTCACCAGGAGAGGTCACCAGGGGAGGTCACCAGGCACCAGGGGAGGTCACCAGGCACCAGGGGAGGTCACCAGGCACCAGGGGAGGTCACCAGGGGAGGTCACCAGGGAAGGTCACCAGGGGAGGTCACCAGGGAAGGTCACCAGTGAGGGGTCTCCAGGGAAGGTCACCAGGGAAGGTCACCAGGGAAGGTCACCAGGGAAGGTCACCAGGGAAGGTCACCAGGGAAGGTCTCCAGGGAAGGTCACCAGGGAAGGTCACCAGGGAAGGTCACCAGGGAAGGTAACCAGGGAAGGTCAACAGGGGAAGGTCTCCAGGGAAGGTCACCAGAGAAGGTCACCAGGGAAGGCCACCAGGAAAGGTCACCAGGGAAGGTCACCAGGGAAGGTCACCAGGGAAGGTCACCAGGGGAAGGTCACCAAGGAAGGTCACCAAGGAAGGTCACCAGGGAAGGTCACCAGGGAAGGTCACCAGGGAAGGTCACCAGGAAGGTCAAGGTCACCAGGGAAGGTCACCAGGGAAGGTCTCCAGGGAAGGTCACCAGGGGAAGGTCACCAAGGAAGGTCACCAGGGAAGGTCTCCAGGGAAGGTCACCAGGGAAGGTCTCCAGGGAAGGTCACCAGGGAAGGTCACCAGGGAAGGTCACCATCACAATCGGGAAGTGGTCCTCTCAGGAAGATAATCACCAGCAGGTGGTTCAGCTCATTATAACCGTTCACAACCAGCAGGCACCAAGCTGTGTTTACACTATCACAGTTCCCGGGCTCAGTCACCATCCTTCACCACCACCCATCACCACCACCCATCACCACAATAAAATTATAAGAGGTCCTGTCATTTTCATCTGGATTGAATCGCGGAATTGTCCCCTACCACCATTACCACTATCACATACCACCACCACCACATACCACTACCACATACTCACCACTAGTACATATTCACAACGACCACATACCACCACTACAACATACAAGCACCACATACTACCACCAGCACCCCAAGCTCTACCCCCATTCTCACCACCATCACCACATACTCATACCACCACAACGACCACACACCACCATTACACACCACCACCAATACACATCACCACCACTACCACATACTCACCACTACAACATACAACCACCACCACATACTCACCACTACAACATACAACAACCACATACCACCACCACATACCACAACCACAACACACCACAAACCACCAATACATACCACCACCACCACACCATACACTCAACACCACCACCACCACCACAAACTCACCACCACTACTACATTCACCACCACACTCACCACCACTACCACATTCACCACCACACTCACCACCACCACCACCACAACACACCACCACCACCACCACCACATTCACCACCATCACACTCACCACCACCACACTCAACACCACCACCACTACAACACACCACCACCACCACAACACACCACCACCACCACACCACCACCACCACCACACTACCACCACCACTACCACACACCACCACCACCACACTCACCACCACCACCACCACCACACCACCACCACTACCACCACCACCACCACCACACCACCACCACCACCACACTCAACACCACCACCACTACAACACACCACCACCACCACCACACTCACTCACCACCACCACCACCACCACACTCACCACCACCACCACACTCACCACCACCACCACACTCACCACCACCACCACACTCACCACCACCACCACACTCACCACCACCACCACACTCACCACCACCACACACTCACCACCACCACCACAGTCACCACCACCACACACACCACACACCACCACAGTCACCACAGTCACCACCACCACACTCACCACCACCACCACACTCACCACCACCACCACCACACTCACCACCACCACCACCACCACCACCACCACACCACCACCACCATCACCACCACCACACTCACCACCACCATCACCACCACCACACACCCACCACCACCACCACCACACCACCACCACCACCACCACCACCACACTCACCTCCACCACAACCACCACCAACACCATCACCACAATACCACCACCACCACAACACACCACCACCACCACACTCACCACCCACCACACACCACCACCACAACACACCACCACCACCACACACACCACAACCACACTCACCACCACAACACACACCACAACCACACTCACCACCACAACACACCACCACCACCACACCACCACCACCACCACCTCACCTCCACCACCACCACACAACACACCACCACACTCACCACCACAACACACCACCATCACCACAACACTCACCACCACAACACACCACCACCACCACTACCACCACCATACTCACCACCACAACACCCCACCTTACTCACCACCACCACCACACTCACCAAGATAAAGTTGCTGGAGAAGATCAGTCTCGCTGCGTCAATATAAACCTTCCAATAACCTTTTCCAGTAATGCTCAGTGTTCCATATTTTCTATGATGTTAAAGTAGTCAAAGATGGAGCAGCAGCAGCAGTCCTGCCCATATACATAGTCCCCGAGCACCGCTTGGTCAATCAACTCCCTGTTTGTGCTCTTTGCAGATATCCGCGTCAATCTACTTCATCCACTTGTTCATCGCGTAATTGTTTAAACAAGCCATCTCCACAAGGCTTGATTGTGAAAACTGACTGGTAAAGCTAGGATTATCCGATACGGATTGTAAATATATATTTATTCTTATCAAGCGAATAAATTAAAGATAACTTTCATAGAACACAAATACAAGTATTTTCGTGGCGAAAGATCACAGTCACAGTGTCAGAGATTCTTCTTGCTTGATGTGTCGCACTAAAACTGGGATGGTGAGTTTGGGAAGGTTAAGTCGCGGTAGCACAGGGCGAGCGTGGCGTGCGGGAGCGTGGCGAGTACCGTCTGGCTGAGTGAGGGTCCAGGCAGGCAGCTATATCCACTGTGCCGACTCGCAGCGTTGCTGGGTGGTGCCTTGCTGTGGAGGCGAGCCTGCGCTGTCAGGGATATGGGTGGTGGTGGCGTGGGTGGTGTTTGTGGCGTGGGTGGTGGTGGCGTGGGTGGTGTTTGTGGCGTGGGTAGTGGTGGCGTGGGTGGTGGTGGCTTGGGTGGTGGTGGCGTGGGTGATGGTGGCGTGGGTGGGGTTTGTGGCGTGGGTGGTGGTGGCGTGGGTGATGGTGGCGTGGGTGGGGTTTGTGGCATGGGTGGGGTTTGTGGCGTGGGTGGTGGTGTTTGTGGCGTGGGTGGTGGCGGCGTGGGTGATGGTGGCGTGGGTGGGGTTTGTGGCGTGGATGGTGGTAGCGTGGGTGGTGGTGGCTTGGGTGGTGTTTGTGGCGTGGGTGGTGTTTGTGGCGTGGGAGGTGTTTGTTGCGTGAGTGGTGGTGGTGTTTGTGGCGTGGGTGGTGGTGTTTGTTGCGTGGGTGGTGTTTGTGGTGTTTGTGCCGTGGGATGTGTTTGTGGCGTGGGTGGTGGTGTTCGTGACGTAGGTGGTGTTTGTGGCTTGGGTGGTGGTGTTTGTGACGTTGGTGGTGTTTGTGGCGTGGGTGGTGTTTGTGGCGTGGGTGGTGGTGTTTGTGACGTTGGTGGTGTTTGTGGCGTGGGTGGTGTTTGTGCCGTGGGTGGTGTTTGTGGCGTGGGTGGTGTTTGTTATGTGGGTGGTGGTGTTTGTGCCGTGGGTGGTGTTTGTATGTGGGTGGTGTTTGTGCCGTGGGTGGTGTTTGTGGGGTGGGTGGTGTTTGTGGCGTGGGTGGTGTTTGTGGCGTGGGTGTGGTGTTTGTGCCGTGGGTGGTGTTTGTGGCGTGGGTGGTGTTTGTGGCGTGGGTGGTGTTTGTGGCGTGGGTGGTGTTTGTGACGTGGGTGGTGTTTGTGGCGTGGGTGGTGTTTGTGGCGTGGGTGGTGTTTGTGGCGTGGGTGGTGTTTGTGGCGTGGGTGGTGTTTGTGGCGTGGGTGGTGTTTGTGGCGTGGGTGGTGGTGTTTGTGCCGTGGGTGGTGGTGTTTGTGACGTGGGTGGTGTTTGTGGCGTGGGTGGTGTTTGTGGCCGTGGGTGGTGTTTGTGGCGTGGGTGGTGTGAGTGGTGGTGTTTGTGCCGTGGGTGGTGTTTGTGCCGTGGGTGGTGTTTGTGCCGTGGGTGGTGTTTGTGGGGTGGGTGGTGGTGTTTGTGCCGTGGGTGGTGTTTGTGGCGTGGGTGGTGTTTGTGGCGTGGGTGGTGTTTGTGACGTGGGTGGTGTTTGTGCCGTGGGTGGTGGTGTTTGTTGCGTGGGTGGTGTTTGTGGCGTGGGTGGTGTTTGTGACGTGGGTGGTGTTTGTGCCGTGGGTGGTGTTTGTGGCGTGGGTGGTGTTTGTGGGGTGGGTGGTGGTGTTTGTGGCGTGGGTGGTGTTTGTGGCGTGGGTGGTGTTTGTGACGTGGGTGGTGTTTGTGCCGTGGGTGGTGTTTGTGGCGTGGGTGGTGTTTGTGGCGTGGGTGGTGTTTGTGCCGTGGGTGGTGTTTGTGGGGTGGGTGGTGGTGTTTGTGCCGTGGGTGGTGTTTGTGGCGTGGGTGGTGTTTGTGGCGTGGGTGGTGTTTGTGGCGTGGGTGGTGTTTGTGGCGTGGGTGGTGTTTGTGCCGTGGGTGGTGTTTGTGGCGTGGGTGGTGTTTGTGGCGTGGGTGGTGTTTGTGGCCGTGGGTGGTGTTTGTGGCGTGGGTGGTGTTTGTGGCGTGGGTGGTGTTTGTGGCGTGGGTGGTGTTTGTGGCGTGGGTGGTGTTTGTGCCGTGGGTGGTGTTTGTGGCGTGGGTGGTGTTTGTGGGGTGGGTGGTGGTGTTTGTGCCGTGGGTGGTGTTTGTGCCGTGGGTGGTGTTTGTGCCGTGGGTGGTGTTTGTGGGGTGGGTGGTGTTTGTGGCGTGGGTGGTGTTTGTGCCGTGGGTTGTGTTTGTGGCGTGGGTGGTGTTTGTGGCGTGGGTGGTGGTGTTGGCGTGGGTGGTGTTTGTGGTGGTGGTTTTTGTGGCATGGGTGGTGTTTGTGCCGTGGGTGGTGTTTTTGTGGCGTGGGTGGTGTTTGTGGCGTGGGTGGTGTTTGTGCCGTGGGTGGTGTTTGTGACGTGGGTGGTGTTTGTGGCGTGGGTGGTGTTTGTGACGTGGGTGGTGTTTGTGCCGTGGGTGGTGTTTGTGCCGTGGGTGGTGTTTGTGACGTGGGTGGTGTTTGTGCCGTGGGTGGTGGGTGTGTTTGTGGTGGGTGGTGTTTGTGCCGTGGGTGGTGTTTGTGGCGTGGGTGGTGTTTGTGGCGTGGGTGGTGTTTGTGGCGTGGGTGGTGTTTGTGCCGTGGGTGGTGTTTGTGCCGTGGGTGGTGTTTGTGGCGTGGGTGGTGGTGTTTGTGGCGTGGGTGGTGTTTGTGGCGTGGGTGGTGTTTGTGGCGTGGGTGGTGTTTGTGGCGTGGGTGGTGTTTGTGGCGTGGGTGGTGTTTGTGGCGTGGGTGGTGTTTGTGGCGTGGGTGGTGGTGGGGTGGGTGGTGTTTGTGGCGTGGGTGGTGTTTGCGGCGTGGGTGGTGTTTGTGGCGTGGGTGGTGTTTGTGGCGTGGGTGGTGTTTGTGGCGTGGGTGGTGTTTGTGGCGTGGGTGGTGTTTGTGCCGGGTGGTGTTTGTGCCGTGGGTTGTTTGTGCCGTGGGTGGTGTTTGTGGCGTGGGTGGTGTTTGTGGCGTGGGTGGTGTTTGTGGCGTGGGTGGTGTGTTTGTGGCGTGGGTGGTGTTTGTGGCGTGGGTGGTGTTTGTGGCGTGGGTGGTGTTTGTGCCGTGGGTGGTGTTTGTGGCGTGGGTGGTGGTGGCGTGGGTGGTGTTTGTGGCGTGGGTGGTGTTTGTGGCGTGGGTGGTGTTTGTGGCGTGGGTGGTGGTGGCGTGGGTGGTGTTTGTGGCGTGGGTGGTGTTTGTGCCGTGGGTGGTGTTTGTGGCGTGGGTGCTGGTGTTTGTGATTGCGCTTGTGGTGTTAAGCTATTAGTACTTATTTATCAGTAACTATAGGGACGTGAGGACTAGCTCTGTATGCCCTGCCAACCTGCTATGTTGTACCTGTTGGGTTGTAAATATAACTTGTTCGGGCGTTCAAGCGCCTTGTTGAGTTTGGCCTCAATGTTGGGGATGAAGGTGGCTTCTACATCTTCTAGTTTCAGTACAATCCACTTGTCACTGAACCACCCGTATGAGGGTTCGACTATTTCCTTAAATACCCTTGACCCATTTCCGTTCTATTTCCATGTATTTTTTCTCAGTTTAAGAAAGGTTTATTTGTCCAGCTTGTCAATTCCTTTCATCATCGTGTATATTGTGATCATATCCCCCTAGTTTCTTTTCTCAGTTTGTGACATTAAGTTTATTATATTTCGTGCTTAAACCTCATAGTTCTGGCACTAATCTTATTACTAACCTCTGAATAGTTTTCAATATATGTTTAGTGCTTTGTCCGGTGCTGCATATATATACCAATATCGGTCTAACATAATAGTCTTGTAAGAGTCTTTATTATGGTTTTAAAATGTCATTCATATATTTACCAGCTGCCCATATGCAGCCAATGTTGCCCTGTTGATGTGTGCCTCTTGAGTTTTTGTCTTGTTCCATATTATGAAGTTGTCTTTTCCTTATTGATGAGACCTTCTGGTCTCATTTCTCTTTTTTCCTGTCTTCGTTACCTTACATTTGCTGGGATTGAATACTAGAATCCATTTATTCGCCCACTTTTGAAGTTTGTTAAGTTCATCCTGTCATTTTCTGATGTCTTTCTTGGTTTTCACATTCTTCAGCCTCTCTGAGCCACCAGTGTGATATTAAGTCTGGTTCTATTGATTTTGTCGCATGTCGTTCTTGGAGGAGTTTCTTCACCTCATCTACAGAGATTACTGTCATCTTATGTTTCTTGCTGGCACCTTGTATCTCACAACCTTCGTCTCCATGTTGATTTATTTTGTAAAGACCTTCTGCAAAGTCTACCCATTTGTCGTTTTTCTGTGAGACTTCCCCTTTGTCGTTTTTCTGTGAGACTTCCCCTTTGTCGTTTTCTGTGAGACTTCCCCTTTGTCGTTTTCTGTGAGACTTCCCCTTTGTCGTTTTTTTTGTGAGACTTCCCCTTTGTCGTTTTCTGTGAGACTTCCCCTTTGTCGTTTTTCTGTGAGACTTCCCCTTTGTCGTTTTCTATGAGACTTTCCCTTTTTCGTTTTCTGTGAGACTTCCCCTTTGTCATTTTCTGTGAGACTTCCCCTTTATCGTTTTCTGTGAGACTTCTCCTTTGGCTCGTCAACCTGATCACATTGTCACTACCTTTTTTGTCTCTATGTCTATCCCACAGCGTTGGTTGGTCCTCAGCTTTTCCCTCAATGCTCTGTTTGAATTGCCTTGAAGCTTCCTTACTCTTGTTAGTGCCAAATTATCACTAATTTGTGTTGTTTTTGTCCTCTTCTTTTTTCGAAGCATTGGCTACTAATTTAGGGTTAACTGTGCTTTCCTAGACTACTTGTTTCTTGAGTGTGAGGAGCTGCCTCGTGGTACCTGCCTCGTGGTACCTTCCCCGTGGTGCCTGCCCTGGGGTACCTGCCCCCGTTGTGCCTGCCTCGTGGTACCTGCCCTGGGGTACCTTCCCCGTGGTGCCTGCCCTGGGGTACCTGCCCTGGGGTACCTGCCCCGTGGTGCCTGCCCTGGGGTACCTGCCCCCGTGGTGCCTGCCTCGTGGTACCTGCCCTGGGGTACCTGCCCCGGGGTACCTGCCCTGGGGTACCTGCCCTGGGGTACCTGCCCCCGTGGTGCCTGCCTCGTGGTACCTGCCCTGGGGTACCTGCCCCGGGGTACCTGCCCTGGGGTACCTGCCTCGTGGTACCTGCCCTGGGGTACCTGCCCTGGGGTACCTGCCCTGGGGTACCTGCCCTGGGGTACCTGCCCCGTGGTGCCTGCCCTGGGGTACCTGCCCTGGGGT